AACAAAAATAAAAAGTTAAAAAAGAAAATTTGTTTTGCTGTCCGTAAAGGGGGGAACCAGCCCATCCCACAACCGGTTTCGGGGCCCTACCCTTCATCAGGTGGGCTGTCCGGGGGCTGGTTCTCACCGATACGGCAAGCAAAACTTCTCCTATATCTACAGACGATGTTGTAAAGTGTCGGTGAGATATTAGTGCATCTCCCGTCAAAAAATGGTAAAGAGCGTTTTTTCGGCCCGCTCAAAAATATATGAAATGAACAATTACAGCTGTAGTGTATATTAATAAATAATATTTCTTGCCTTTAGCTGTGTATTTTTTCTAATCTCGAAAAATCGAAAATGTAGAGAAAAAATTAATTAAAAAAAAAAAAATCTCTACTTTCGATTTTTCGGGCAAATTCAGAAAAAATACACAGCTAAAGGCAAGAAAATATTATTTATTAATGATCAACTAAAAGCTGTAAGAATTTGTTCAATTTCATATATATATATTATATATATATTATTATACTATATATATTAATATTATATATATATATATAGTATATATATATATATATATATATATATATAATATATATATATATTATATATATTATATATATATATAGTTTATATATATATATATATATATATATATATATATATGTATACAAAATATATCAGTCAAATAACTTTATCTACTCAACATGTTTATTTTTTTCAATAACGACAAGTATTGGCTATTTTTACTCTAAATATCTTGAGAACGGTTGTTCGTAGAGTTTTTTACCAAGAGACATTTTTTACGTAAAAAATCACGAAAATATATATTTTTTCACTCAGTAGTTTTATACAGGTACGAACGAAAAGTTATTACTCTTCAAATCAGTTAAAACACATGTAGGTGGCGCCATAAATCAAATTTTTCGTACTAAAAAACTTTCGGACACCAATTGAAAGAGAGAGATGCACGCTCACTCTGAATTTGTGTGTGCGCGAGCAGCCGCGAACGTGAGCCGTCTGGTGTCGGTTTTTGGTCCGTGCACAAAGGGATTTTATGTGTGCGCGACCCAATGCGTTTTAATAAAATATACGGAGAGTACCGCTTAAATTCCTGTCCCGATGTTGAAGGATTGCTATAGAATGTCAATGCATTTCCTACATAAGTCTATTCTTGTGTGGTAGGAGGTTTTCTGCGCTTGCTCGATCTGTAGGCACTTTGATTGGACAGTTCCAAATCAATTATGATATGTTTGTTTTGGTTTTATTTATTTTTTTTTTTTTTTTTTGTCGGCCTGTGTAATTGAATTAAATCTTTCGAAAAATTGGATAGTTTTTTTGTTAAATATTCTGAAATCAAATAAAGTCTTTGATAATGTAACATTATGCGCTTATATTTATCATTGAGAAATATTTAATCGTATCCAACATGTTATGGCAAAACACTTTTTCAACCAAAATTTTTCAGATATCTTCGATTTAGTTATTTTCGGAATGTTTTATTTTTGTTAATATCTATTACAACTCAAGGGCAACAGTTTTTTACAAGTAGTGTTAATTTTGATGCTGGTGCAATACTTCTACTCGTAAAATAAGTTTATTATAATATTACGCAGACATTTAAAAAAATAGGCTATGGAATAGGTATATAAAAATTATTTTATATCTGTCTCACAATGGGGGCTCCTAGTAGCGTAATAGGTATCTGCAGTGCGATTCTGTAAACATTTCCCTGTCTAGTGACACATCAATCGTATACAAATAGCAAAGGCTCGATAAGAAATTTTTTGCTACGGAGTTTACAGAATCCCATTGCTGATTTCTAAAATTCTTTTTCTAGATAGGCTTCCCGCGTCGTAAAAACTCCTATTTTATGGTATGTAAATTAAGTATTCTGAAGTATTAAAATAATTTTAAATATCATATAGTTTTTCACTGAAACTCGAGTTAAATCTTAATATACATGATTCATTATTGTCGTTTTAGAGTTTGTGCTTTTATACTTACTATTATGAAAATTTACTGAAATAAATATATTTTTTTTTTTTTTTTTTTTTTTTTTTTTTTTTTTTTTTTTTTTTTTTTTTTTTATATTTTTTGCTTATTTAGGTACTAATTTTAATCCAGACCATTTTTTTAATGAACTCATTTATATTTATTATCATATCGTTCTAAGTAGACTTGGTTGTGTTAGACAATTATTATTAAATAAAACGAATGAAAAAAAGTGACAGGTACGATATTTTTTTTTTAATTCAAAAAATAATTTAGTAAACGCACAATTTATTTAAGAAATTGTCTTAAAAAACTTCGTAGTACAAATTGCATATCTATTTCACTTTTTTTTAAAATTCAAAAAATAATTTAGTAAAACCTCAATTAAGGAACTGTCTTAAGAACTTAGTATTACAAATTGCCCCAAATATCTATTTCACTCGACTTAAAAAATTGGCAGCAAAAACAAAGTATAAACAGTACATTTTTTACTGTCTATTGTTTCTTTTACTGCCCATGTATTTATGATCAATAATCAACATCAGTCCTGGTTTAAAATGAAACAAAAGGTAAATTCTTTTATTATTAACATATTTTTTATTAAACAAATATAACTAAAAGTGTGTACATATTAAGTTTATACATAAATAAAGCTAGATACAAAAAATATAATTATTTACATTGTTGCATTGTAAATACTGCTTTTTTATATTATGAAAATAAACAATAATAATTTTACAATTAAGAACAGGTTGTGTGTAACTGTGTAAGCATTAAAATTAGCTTATGTAATCTCTATTTTTTTTAAAAATAAAAAAAAAATGTCTTTTTTTATTTTAAAATAGTAAAGACTAAATATAATGCTTTTAAACAATTAGATTTTGAATAAATTAGTTTAGTATATTTTTTGTCTATATTAACATCCTTTCATTCTGAATTTTGCTTTCATGATACAAACGAACATCGAGAAAAATTTCTATTATTAATTTGGTTAGTTGGCTTCTACCACACAAGAAGCAGTAGCCCATTTCCATTGTTCTATTAACTAAACTACAGCAAAAGTCCTTTTTAAAACAAATCACAAAATTGTCAATAAACGCACAAAGATTAAAAACAAAACACACAGTATACGTGGAAAACAGAAAGTTAAAGAAAACTCTAATGGCGACTGCCCAAGTCAAACTGAAAACAAAATCCACGCCGAAGACGCGTCCAAAAATAAAATCGATAAACCATCTCGACACCATTCGGCCAATAGAAAAGTAGCATTTCGGCGCATGTGCATTACATCCATCTACTGAACAAGGATGGACTTATGTCAAACTCGATCTTCTGTCCTTCAATACTGGGACATAAATTCTCTCATTGCTCTTATGGGGAGGCCGCAGTATATTTTAATTAAAACGTATTTGGCGCGAAGGCTCAGTTTGCACCGGCAATTTGTTTTGTCTGCGTTCGTGCGTGCGTGTGTGATTTTTTTTCGTTTTCTTTATTAAAATTATGGAGTGGATCAATGAATCTTCGTTATTATTAATTGAAGAATATAAAAAGTTGCCTATATTATGGGATGTTAAACATTCTTTGTATTATTAAAAAATAAAAGAAAACTAACGCCTGGCAAGACCTTGTAAATAAAATTAATATTGAATATGTCGATATTAATGAAATTGCTATTCTAAAATTTATATCTTTTGTTCGTAATTTTTGGTATTAAATTTTGTAAATATTCAAAGTCAGGCCTGGTCATTCTTGTAAAGATTTTGAACTGATCATAGCCCTCCTCAGACACTAAGTTGTTGCAGTAAAATATATCGATTTCTAAAAATTTGGGTTTGCCACCAGCGACGATGTTTTCGATTTTTCTTCTTTTTAATAATTAAACTGTGCATAACAATGACTGCAGCCTCGACTATTTCTTGGTCATCCATTATTTTCGCCAACACAACTCTGCTGTGCGCGCACAAATGGATCACTTCATTCGTCGAAAAATAAGCTTTTAATTTGAACGTAGCCGAGAGCTTAAGTGCGTGCTTAAGTCTAAACGCACCATAAAGTCTGTCCAATAAGACGATACCTGACAGTAACAGTTTTTATTTTCTGTCATTTTTTGGATGTCGTCTCGTTGGACATACTTTCGTGAGTACTTAAAAAATTTAAGAAGTATCCATATTCATGCATGGTAACACATGTAAAAAGTTAAATATAATAGGATTTAGGGAATGTTAAAAGTAGTGTTGTAAAATTTCGGGAAATATTTCCTGAAACATTTGAAATATTGGAAACAAATTAAAGACTAAAAAATAGGAAAAAAACATTTATTTAAAAAATAACATAAAAAAGAGAATGCTTGTACATACATAAATACAAAATAAAGTGTTAAACATAAAAAATACACATAGTGTCCAATTTGTCTGGAGAGCACAAAACAGGAGTAAAGCAGTTTCAGCAGGAGTAAATTCTTCATCGCTATCTTCACCGTCTTCAATATTATCTTCGGCATTAGGGTCTTTTTCATGCCAATCAACTTCTTGAAAATAGGGCCAGTGAAAGGGAAATCTGAAAAATAAAAGTTATTTTTTTTTGTAAAAACTACTGAGTGTAATTCAATTAGAAACTAGTTTGTCAGTGGCTTTATACTAGTAAAAAAATGGCTAACCGACATAAAATACTTCGTGTTTCAAAAAGTATATCTGCTCCTCTCAACAGAACGTCAACGATTTTTAACAGACGTGCCTGTCTTGGTATATTCTTTGGGCGTGTCTGCTAAGAAACTAAAATGTCTAGTTGGCTGGGAAATGACGATCGATGACATTTTCCATATAAATTTATATATAAAATGACAGCGATCTTCATTTCATAGCCATCACTGACGCCGTTTTTTTCGATCATACGGTATTTAGACACACGTTTTAATAAATTATTTTCTTTTTCTTTGTTGCTTCTGACGACTGGAGGAGATATACCTCGTGAAACGTTAAGTATTTTGGATTATTAATATGTCTTTATCTATAACTTTTTTTCAGATTGACCAGAACTATTGAAGACGTATATCATATTGCTTTTCTGGCTTTATTTATGTCAGGATGTTTTATATTTTGTACTATATTATATCAGCTATTACTTGTAAGTATATCTTCTTGTATTACTATTTATTGCTATTACATTTTGAAAAAAATATATCTGACTGAATCTGTTTTAATCTTTGAATAAGAAGACTAAGGAAGGAGCATAATGCTATCCATGTATTCATGCATGGTGGGCGGAAAAAGCTCTCTAGGGTGGGGATCTTTGACAGTTCTGTTTGACGATTCATTTGACACATTTGAATTTGATTTGAAATTTTGTGGATTTGTCAGTCTTTACGGAGCTTATTTTATGTTATTTATTATTTATTCTACTACTGATAGTTGTATAAAGGTAGCAAATCTAGATGGAAATTGTGGCAGAACTTAAATTAACAGTGACACTATCGCGATTTATCGAAAAAGACTCTAAAATAGTTGGTTGTGTAGCGTGAGGTAGATCTCGGCAAAAATTGAGTGAAATAATGGAACAACTTTTCGCTAGTAAGTGACTGTATAATATACATACGTGTAGTAAACCGATCATTTATGAAATTCACTTAAATTAACTAAATTATATATTTTTTTTTGCATTTTAGCTTTTATTTACTACTTGTCAAAGATCAGATGTCAAAGAATTTTGACACGTTAATTTGACTTACCTGCTTCAGTAGCGTATCGGATGTTTGTGTTAATAAATACTTATTATAACTTATCTATTTTTATTAGAATTATATATTTTTATAACAATTTTAATAACTACCAACATTTATTCACAACGTATAAAATAACAAATTATTGAGTCTACCCCACGTCTACCCTACATCATAGTTTTACATTTTGTAAATAAAATTAGAACGGCACTGATAAACCGGAATTTAAGTCGGCCATATTTGAGGCCCATCGCGGTGTACCTAAGATTTTTGATATGCTCCTTCCTTAGTCTTCTTATTCAAAGGTTTTGATGATAATATCGTCTTTTTATAATATACAGGGTGGTCCGAACTATATTCCGGAAACTTTGGCAGCAGATAAAAATAACTAAAAAAGTTCGTATAAACGTATGTGCTAAAATGCTTAGTTTCGGAGATACAGGGTGTAGAAGTTTCATTTTTATTTTCATTTTTTTCAAATAATTTCTAAAGTAACGTCAATATTTGGATGAAAAATGGTGTCTGGGAGTTTTCTGACATGAGAAATTTGATTTTGATGTCAATATGACTCCTACTTGTAGATGGCGCCACCTACATATTATTTAACTAGTTTGAAGAATAATAACTTTGTGTCTGTACCAGTATAAAACTACTGGGTGAAAAAATATACATTTACGACGTTTTTTACGTAAAAAAGATCTCTTGGTAAAAATCGCTGCGAGTAATGATGGTTCTCGAGATATTTGGAATCGAAATTATCAATACCTGTTGTCATTTACATAAAAACATAAATTTGGGAACTTTTTAAATTAATCATAAATTTTTCTTTGAAAAAATGATGATAAAAAAGTTTCTGTTGAACTTTTGACACAAAAATATTTCAAATTTATGATTTCAGTTTAGTAACTATTTAGTCAACATGTTTATTTTTTGTCAATAATGACATGTATTGACTATTTCCATTCTAAATATCTGGAGAACAGTTGCTCGTAGCCATTTTTACCAAGGGATATTTTTGACGTAAAAATCACGGAAATGTATATTTTTTCACCCAGTAGTTTTATACAGGTAGTAGTTATTACTCTTAAAAACAGTTAAAACACATGTAGGTGGCGCCCCCTGCAAATAGGAGTCATATTGACATAAAAAAATCAAAATTTCTCATGTCAAAAAACTCCCAGATACCAATTTTCATCTAAATATTGACTTTACTTCAGAAATTATTTGGAAAAATTGAAATAAAAATGAAACTTCTACACCCTGTATCTCTCCGAAACTAATCATTTAAGGACATACATTTATACGATCTTTTTTACTTACTTTTATCTGCAGAATATGCTGCCGAAGTTTCCGGAATACAGTTCGGACAACCCTGTATATATTTTTTTAAACTATTCTGTTTTTCTGGTGGTAGATTGTCTTTTTAAAGATATAGAATAAATATATGACATTTTTAGGTTGAAATCGGCAGTAGTGAATTCTTTTATCTACTGTTTTTCATGACAAGTATACTAACTCAGCAATCAGTCTTTTGTTGGCTAGGTACAGAAATGACAGTGAAGGTAAGAAAAGATGCTCAATAAATTAATTGTATTAAGTAAATTTTTGTATTAAATTGTAAATAATATATAGTATATCCCCGGATCGTTTTCATGAGAGGAAAAACTTTTATTATTAACAAAAATTTAAGGAAAATGCATTCTTTATAAAAAAAATGATTACTTTAAAAAGGTTAATCTCGTTTTTCAAATTTCAATACCGTTTTAGAGAAAAGTAAAAAAATAACGAATGGTTGAGGTCCTAAAAATCCATCCCATAGATTGATTTTTAGGACTTTAGAGGATTTTGATAAATTTTGGTAAATTATAGAGATATAAATTATAGAATGAATGCATTTTTCTCAAAATGTTGATAATAAAAAGTTTTTCCTCTTGTAAACTTCAAAGTGCTTACTTACTAAGGGTCCCACGCATATTTCAGCCAAATTTTGCAGGGCCTCTCCGTCTTAGGATCCGCCGATCAAATTATCAAAGTAATTTTAACCGAAGCTTATACAGGGTTGTTCACCACATACGACACGGAGTGTTGTAGCTAAACGATTAGATTTTTATAAATTGTAAGTTTTGGGTTCGTTGAAGGACTATTAGAGTTACAATTAAAAATATTTTTACAAGATACAGAGTGTCCCAAATAAGTAAAAAATATTATAGTTGTATTTTTTTAAACGGAACACCCTGTATATTATTCTATTTTTGTATTCTACGATTGAGGTAAATTTGATTAAGGCTTATCACACTTAAACCTTACCGTTTTTGAAATATTTTCAATTTTATGAAATTGCAGTAAAAATTTTAAGGCTTTATTTCTCCAAGGGTATCAAAGTTTTTCATACTAAATATTTACTGAAGATTATTTATTGATCAGATATTATGTAGCAATAATAAAAAAATTACTACCTTATACAGAGTGTCCAAAAATTTATATTAAATAATTACTAGCTTTAATCGGCAATAACTTGTTTAATTTAAATGGAACACCCTGTATATTTTACGTGAATCATATACACAATTTAATTGTCTATCAAATTTTATTATACCATTCTTTACCTATCTCTTCAAGTTTTCGTAGAAAATGCATTTTCTTATAATTTAGACCTCATTTATCACTATACCCATGGAATATTGACAGTTTAGATTTTTTTTAAAGCAACATATATGTACAAAATGTACAGGTGATAAATATTGCAAGCCCATTGGTATACAAAAAAACTATTTAAATATTTGTAAAAGAGTATACCAATTAAATATACCACCATTATTTCCGACCAAAAATTAGTTAATGAATGAACGTCTGTTTTTTTTTAAATAAGCATTCGTCAAGAAATGAAATAAAATTTATAAGGTGTTACTTTTTACCACACTGTCTAATACACACACAAAATTCAGTTTTTCAGTTTTTGAGCAATTATTCATCAGCGTAAACAGTCAATTAATGTAGTTTGAATACTGGGATCATATTAATTGGTCCTCTTTAACAAAAAATATTTAAACAGTTTTTATTTTATTGTTTAATGAAATAAGCGAACTATATCGACAATATTAGTATCTGTACTCTTTGAAAATTTGTTACATCTTTAAAAATAATCTAAAATGTCAATATTCCATGGGTATAGTGATAACTGAGGTCTAAATTATATGAAAATGCATTTTCTACGAAAACTTGAAGAGATGGGTAAAAAATGGTATAATACAATTTGATAGACAATTAAATTGTGCATATAATTTACGTAAAATATACAGAGTGTTATATTTAAATTAAACAAGTTATTGCCGTTTAAAGCTAGTAATTATTTAATATAAATTTTTGGACACTCTGTATAAGGTAGTAGAATTTTTATTATTGCAACACAATATCTGATCAATAAATAATCTTCAGTAAATATTTAGTATTAAAAACTTGATACCCTTGGAGAAATGAAGCCTTAAAATGTTTACTGCAATTTCATAAAATTGAAAATATTTCAAAAACGATAAGGTTTAAGTGTGATAAACCTTAATCAAATATGCCTTTATTTTAATCGTAGAATCTAAAAATAGAATAATATGCAGGGTGTTCCATTTAAAAAAATACAACTATAATATTTTTTACTTATTTGGGACACTCTGTATCTTGTAAAAATATTTTTAAATTGTAGCTCTAATAGTCCTTCAACGAACCCAAAACTTACAATTTGTAAAAATCTAATCGTTTAGCTACAATACTCCGTGTCGTATGTGGTGAACAACCCTGTATAGCTGTCGTTATTTTACTACATCCAATACACTTTATAAAAATGAAGAATGATTGTAAGACGAGAACTTTAAAATTTAAAACGTTATTATCATCTACACCTGAATCTTGTTTTGTGACGTATTTTTATTGTTTCAGAGCGAAATGGTCCTTCGAGCAGTTTCCAATATACCTTTCTGGGTAGACTGTGACCTAAATTTCAGAAAAACGATGGTCATGTTTTTAATATCTCTTCAGAAACCTTTAACTATATATGCTGGAAGAATAATTCCTTTGTCCATTAGAGTTTTACTTACAGTACGTATTTCAATTTATCTATATATATATATTTCATGTATTACAGAACTTTAGAGATACTTTTATAATATACAAAAGAACTAGAACAACTAACTGGCAATAAGCATTTTCAATTATTACAATAAATCCTAAAGATTGATATTATTAAACCACACTAAAGCTGTACAAATGTGTTTGTATAGCTCTAGTGCGGTCTCTGTCTAAATCATAGACTTAAAATTCAATAATCTAAACCAATAGATAACAAAGTTTGTCTAAAAACAATATTTTTTTGTTTAAATCTCTGATTTGTATCGATCCAATAAATTTATTGAAATTTTCACACTAAAAATTCAATAATTCATACTTACACATAGACATTTATGAATTCTTTTTTCTTTTTCAGATATTTCGTACATCTTATTCATATTTTACGCTTCTAAAAAATGTTTAGCTGGATGAGGATGATCGAATGGTGACACTTTACAAGCTTTAAACTTTCTGCATTTTTTTATTTAATACTTTTTTGTAGTTATATTGCTTATCTGCATTTTAAACTTCACTACATGCACACACCAATACAATATAAATAGAAAAATTAAAAAACATCGAAAATCCAAACCTAAAAACAAAGCAAAGGAGAGGTTAATAAAAAAAAATCCAAAAACGTTTTTCAAAGAGTGTATTTTTAAAAACATATGTATTTTTTTTTCTACAGGATATTTTCTAAACAAAATTTTATTTATGAATTAAAAATGACTCAGTTCTAGTATAAAAATACTGAAATACCGGGTTGGAAACATGGGAAATCCTATACAAATTTTGAATAGTCCGAATACTTATTTACATCTTTTACTATGCTCTCTGGAACAGCATGCGGCCCATCTGGCTGCCGATTCCCGTTGCGTTCACTACTGCGCATCGGAAGAAGATCCATATTTTTTTTATTTAGTCCGTTAAATTCTAGTATTGAATATAAATGAATAACTCTCTATAGCGCAGCGCGTAAAGTTTCCGACTACGAACCGATGATTCACAGTTCGAGACAGGATCAGGGTAAAAACTTTTTTATTTTATTTTCGTTTATATTCTGATAGTAAAGTATTAAATATTTGTTTTTTTGAATCACCAGAATTATTTAATACTTTACTATCAGAATATAAACGAAAATAAAATAAAAGTTTTTACCCTGACCCGGTCTCGAACTCTGAATCCTCGCTTCATAGGCGGAACCTCTACGCGCTGAGCTATGGAGACTCGCTCGGTTTACATTCAGTACTAGAATTTTAAGGACTAATAAAAAATATAGGATCTTCTTTCAATGCGCAGTAGAGAACGCAACGTTTACCGGCAGCCAGACGGGCAGCATGCTGTTCCAGAGAGCATAGTAAACGATATATTAGAGCCAGCTTTCTTAAAATACTTGTTTTCACGACGTTGCTAGGTCTCGTACTGTAAGTTTGGAATTGGAAAAAAATGCAATTGTAATGGAAACAAGTGTCTTGGCTCTGCAACTGAACTGGGCAGTATTTTACGTTGGTCTGATCGGATGACCACCTGACGCATTTAGGTGTATGAGTTTGGAAACCAAGCAGTTTTCCTTCGATGGTAATTGGATTTCCCATGAGATTGAGTCGTTTTTTCACAGACCATTTTAGACAGAACTCTTGGTCTTTAACGAAACTCGACCCGTAGTAATGGAAACAAGTGTCTTGGCTCTGCAACTGGACTGGGCAGTATTTTACGTTGGTCTGATCGGATGACTACCAGCCGCTAACGTTAGCGTTGTGGCCTAATATCCCCAGAGATTGTTCTTTTAGTATTTGTTAGAGCGGGGAATAAAATGAAACTTTAAAATATTTCAGAATATACATGTATTTAAATCTAATAATTAATAACAAAGAAAAAACTTAACTTCTAAAAACTAATATTGCATATTCATTGTTTCCAAGGTAGATTTGATATCGTTCACTTCCTTCTGTAGCTTTTGCAGCATAGTCTCCATGTTCTTTTCCACAAGTATAATTATCTTTATTTGTTTTTCCAAATCGTTCAACCGATTGGTATGAATCGATATCTCATTGTATAAAACACTCAAGCTGTCAAGCGCCCTGCTTTGTAACTGATCCACATTCCTGCTCAATCTTTCTATTTCAAGTCTATTTTGTCTAGTAATGTATTCAGGTTCTTTAACGTCTGTTATCCGATAAATCCAGTTAAGAAATGGTAACAAATTAACAATAACATTACTTCCTGTACAGGTAGGATGTGCCTTAACGCATTTAGGTGTGTGAGTTTGGAAACCAAGCAGTTTTCCTTCGATGGTAATTGGATTTCCCATGAGATTGAGTCGTTTTTTCACAGACCATTTTAGACAGAACTCTTGGTCTTTAACGAAACTGGACCCGTAGTAATGGAAACAAGTGTCTTGGCTCTGCAACTGGACTGGGCAGTATTTTACGTTGGTCTGATCGGATGACCACCAGCCGCTAACGTTAGCGTTGTGTCCTAATATCCCCAGAGATTGTTCTTTTAGTATTTGTTAGAGCGGGGAATAAAATGAAACTTTAAAATATTTCAGAATATACATGTATTTAAATCTAATAATTAATAACAAAGAAAAAATTTAACTTCTAAAAACTAATATTGCATATTCATTGTTTCCAAGGTAGATTTGATATCGTTCACTTCCTTCTGTAACTTTTGCAGCATCGTTTCCATGTTCTTTTCCACAAGTATAATTGTCTTTATTTGTTTTTCCAAATCGTTCAACCGATTGGTATGAATCGATATCTCATTGTACAAAACACTCAAGCTGTCAAGCGCCCTGCTTTGTAACTGATCCACATTCCTGTTCAATATTTCTATTTCAAGTCTATTTTGTCTAGTAATGTATTCAGGTTCTTTAACATCAGTTATCCGATAAATCCAGTTAAGAAATGGTAACAAATTAACAATAACATTACTTCCTGTACAGGTAGGATGTGCCTTAACGCATTTAGGTGTGTGAGTTTGGAAACCAAGCAGTTTTCCTTCGATGGTAATTGGATTTCCCATGAGATTGAGTCGTTTTTTCACAGACCATTTTAGACAGAACTCTTGGTCTTTAACGAAACTGGACCCGTAGTAATGGAGACAAGTGTCTTGGCTCTGCAACTGGACTGGGCAGTATTTTACGTTGGTCTGATCGGATGACCACCAGCCGCTAACATTAGCGTTGTGTCCTAATATCCCCAGAGATTGTTCTTTTAGTATTTGTTAGAGCGGGGAATAAAATGAAACTTTAAAATATTTCAGAATATACATGTATTTAAATCTAATAATTAATAACAAAGAAAAAATTTAACTTCTAAAAACTAATATTGCATATTCATTGTTTCCAAGGTAGATTTGATATCGTTCACTTCCTTCTGTAACTTTTGCAGCATCGTTTCCATGTTCTTTTCCACAAGTATAATTGTCTTTATTTGTTTTTCCAAATCGTTCAACCGATTGGAATGAATCGATATCTCATTGTACAAAACACTCAAGCTGTCAAGCGCCCTGCTTTGTAACTGATCCACATTCCTGCTCAATCTTTCTATTTCAAGTCTATTTTGTCTAGTAATGTATTCAGGTTCTTTAACATCTGTTGTCCGATAAATCCAGTTGAGAAATGGTAACAAATTAACAATAACATTACTTCCTGTACAGGTAGGATGTGCCTTAACGCATTTAGGCGTGTGGGTTTGAAAACCAAGTAATTTTCCTTCGATGGTAGTTGGATTTCCCATGAGATTGAGTCGTTTTTTCACAGACCATTTTAGACAGAACTCTTGGTCTTTAACGAAACTGGACCCGTAGTAATGGAAACAAGTGTCTTGGCTCTGCAACTGGACTGGGCAGTATTTTACGTTGGTCTGATCGGATGACCACCAGCCGCTAACGTTAGCGTTGTGGCCTAATATCCCCAGAGATTGTTCTTTTAGTATTTGTTAGAGCGGGGAATAAAATGAAACTTTAAAATATTTCAGAATATACATGTATTTAAATCTAATAATTAATAACAAAGAAAAAATTTAACTTCTAAAAACTAATATTGCATATTCATTGTTTCCAAGGTAGATTTGATATCGTTCACTTCCTTCTGTAACTTTTGCAGCATCGTTTCCATGTTCTTTTCCACAAGTATAATTGTCTTTATTTGTTTTTCCAAATCGTTTAAACGATTGGTATGAACCGATATCTCATTGTACAAAACACTCAAGCTGTCAAGCGCCCTGCTTTGTAACTGATCCACATTCGTGCTCAATTTTTCTATTTCAAGTCTATTTTGTCTAGTAATGTATTCAGGTTCTTTAACATCTGTTGTCCGATAAATCCAGTTGAGAAATGGTAACAAATTAACAATAACATTACTTCCTGTACAGTTAGGATGTGCCTTAACGCATTTAGGTGTGTGGGTTTGAAAACCAAATAATTTTCCTTCAATGGTAGTTGGATTTCCCATGAGATTGAGTCGTTTTTTCACAGACCATTTTAGACAGAACTCTTGGTCTTTAACGAAACTGGACCCGTAGTAATGGAAACAAGTGTCTTGGCTCTGCAACTGGACTGGGCAGTATTTTACGTTGGTCTGATCGGATGACCACCAGCCGCTAACGTTAGCTTTGTGGCCTAATATCCCCAGAGATTCTTCTTTTGGTATTAGCTCGATAGGATATATTTCACTGGATAACTTGACGGGTTCTGGAAGTTTTAAAACGGCGACGTTATTTATAAATTGCTTGTTACCGATTTTGATGAAGTCTTCGTGCACTGTTATGTTTCTTGTTACGTAAAATTTTCCGGCTGAGTCCTCCTGGCTTCTGTCGTTGTACGGGTGTTTTCGAAAGCCCAAGTACACTATTGCTTCTGAAGATCTAAAATGAAAAATAAATAACGCATGCTTATTGGATTCTACATCAAAGATCAAAGATATTGTCAAGAGCAGGAAATTGTATTGCCTATCTAAAATAATTCAATATAAATATATTTTTAAATAAGTTCGGTAGAAAGGAAATATAAACTGTTTTAAGTTCATTGGTATATCGAGTTTACATAACAAAAGCAAAGTTTAAATGAAGAGTTTGGTGGATAAATATATATAAAATATACAGGGTGTTTCAAAACAAATGCGAAAAACTTCAGGGGACGATTCCTTGTTCAAAATAAAGGGTAGTTTGCTTTATAAAAGTTGGGTCAAAGGTCAACTATTAGGGAGATACCGCGGTACAAAGATGGCGGAAAAATAATATTTTTATTTTTTATCTTGAAAACGAAAAGCGATAGACTAATGAAATTTTATGGAAGCATTACTGTTATGAAAACACACTTTCTGGTAATTTTCTCACTTTTTTAAAATGAGTGGAAGGGGTTGAAATAAATTACCCCTATCATTCTTGTTAACGAAATTTAAAGAAAAATCAAATCAAACACATGCAAAAAAATATTTTGGATAGTTTAGTTTGTTTAGAAACTTTTTTATCTCTTGTGTTTTTTTGATAAAACTCACCAATTTGAAATTAAAAAGTAAAATGTAAAGCATTACATGTCAGGACAAAAAACATTTTTAGATGAACAATCTAGTGGGCTGCTGTAATTTTTTTAGGAAAAAAATCTAGTCGGCCGCTGTCACTTTTTAGGATGGTTCTAATATTATTTTATTTGACATTACTCTACTGTAATACGTTATTATCTAGATTAATATTATTATCGTTATTATCACTAGATTCTTTATCTAAAAATGTTTTTTGTCCTGACATGTAATGCTTTACATTTTATTTTTTAATTTCAAATCGGTGAGTTTTATCAAAAAAACACAAGAGATAAAAAAGTTTCTAAACAAACTAAACTATCCAAATTAATTTCTTTGCATGTGTTTGATAAGATTTTTCTTTAAATTTCGTTAACAAGTATGATAGGGGTAATTTATTTCAACCCCTTCCACTCATTTTAAAAAAGTGAAAAAATTACCAGAAAGTGTGTTTTTATAACAGTAATGCTTCCATAAAATTTCATTAGTCTATCTCTTTTCGTTTTTAAGATAAAAAATTAAAACATTATTTTTCCGCCATCTTTGTACCGCAATATCTCCCTAATGGTTGACTTTTGACCCAACGCGTTGGGTCAAAAGTCAACCATAAAACGTTTGCTTCATAAACGTTGCAACGTTTATGAAGCAAACTACCCTTTATTTTGAACAAGGAGTCACACCCTGAAGTTTTTCGCATTTGTTTTGAAACACCCTGTATATGTGGCAGGCGTATAAAATAATCCGTTTTTTTGGCAAAACGACTAGGCATATAATAAAACGCCGGCGTTTTTAACAAAATCTTATTATAATATATTATATTCTTATAATTATATTATAATCTTCGTTATAAATGCTTTTTTATTTTTAGTTACATGTGCAAAATGCACTAAACCCTTTGCTAGAAAAGACAACTTAAAACGGCATATGCAGGGCCTATTTTACCATAAGGCCCGGGCCTTGGGCCCGGTGGTCTGGGGGGCCCCCGTAAAAGGTGGTAAAATATTCATAATTTCAAATGTAAATTAACACAGCAGAGAGAAAAAAACCGTTACCTCTGATAAGGAAAATAGAATTAAATAAAATAGGCTTTAGATTGATATAATTAATGCATTTTTAAAATTATTTATAAATTTATATCTAAGATACCGGCATCGGCGATTCCCCAATCTAAAAATAACGTTTTTTTTAACCCAAACTAACAAAAGAATTTTTGAATTTTATTGGAAGAGGGCCCGAATTTTTGCTTGGGCCTTAGGGCCCGACCAGATGAAAAATAGGCCCTGGGCATATGAAGATTTGTAATAGTAAGTAAATATTTTTCTATTTTATATTGTGTAATATATTAAATATTTTTTCTATTATTTTAGCCGATGAGGAAATAGAAAGCTAGTATTGAAAAATATTGTATATCTTTATTTAAATGTTGTTTACCTATTTTTGATAATTTACTTTTTAAATTGATAGTTTATATAAGTATATATTTCAGGTAAGTGTCGCACTAATATTTCAAAATACAAAAACTGAACTTAATGCGTTCTTTGAGGGCAGTAGGTCACCCTATACAGGGTGTCCCAGAAATGTGTGCAGATATTTTAAGAGGTGGTAGATCTGGTCAAAATAAACATATTTTCTCTTTACCATTTTTAAAATAAATTGAAAATAACTAAGTTATTTAACTTTGAAAATTTAAAAAAATAATCGCAACATTTTGAGAACCGCCGGCAGATATTGCCAACTACATCCAATTACCCTGATTTCAGTTAATTCGACGCACTGTGTTGCCATATGGACAAGAAAGTATATGTTTACAAGTAAGTCATAAAATCACAACACCTGAGGAGTTTGCAGAGATGCATTACATTTTTAAGATTGTGATATTATTACATAAAATAAATTAAAAGTTAAATGTTTAAAAGTTATTAAAAAAACTTACCCAACATTAAAAAAGATACTTATGACAGATCGATGTAACTGCGACAGTTCTCTTTTTCGATACACACTTAACTAAATACACTTCATTGTGCTGTTTTACTTGTACGTGTTATTATAAAAACTGCTAAAATAACAGTCCCCATTTTTAACTTAACACATTATTTTCGTATAGGCTTCATCACAATTTGAACCACTGATTTACAAAATACCTTGAAAAGCACACATTACACATTACTTTGAATATCTTTCTGAATGAATAAATGTTGAGAATTATTGTCTCTTACCGCCACTTTACGAACTACTTTCAATCTAAGAAAATACATGTTTCACTCAACAATTTTAAATACGTATTTTGCGTTTTCGCTATTTTTTCGATGTATTTCGACAATTCCGTCAACAGCCCAAACATCCGTCGGCCAAGACAGCCACGCTGGTTGGTAACTGCTCACTGCTTCTTTGTCGCGCCGGCGTGTCGAGCTTGCGTCATGCGAGGTTGCCGTAGTTTCAACAATTTCAAATTCAAGACACTCGAAGCAATCAAATTCTTATTAAATTTTAAAAATAAAACAGAAAAACATGAAAGGAAACAAACAAAACACAAATGAATTGATTATTGATAAGGTCACAAAAAAAAATTTCTAAATTGTTTATCGTAATTCAGAATTCAATATATCGAAAACAGCCCGACGAATAATCAATTCATTTTCGTTTTGTTTGTTTCCTTTCATGTTTCTCTGTTTTATTTTTAAAATTTAATACAAATTTGATTGCTTCGAATCTCTTGAATTTGAAATTGTTGTAACTACGGCAACGTTGCTTAACATCGTCGTCTGACGAAAGCCGCAAGCCTGCCACGACGGCGCGGCTCAAACAGGGCTGCCACTCCTACGGATTTTTCCGTAGATCTACGGAATTCAGAAGATACCTACGGAATCTCCGATTTTACTTTCAAATCTACGGAATTTTATAGATTTCCGCTTGTATTTTATTTATTAAATACATTTTTACAATGCCAATGCCATCCAGATATAACTGATATAAAATCACTCAAGTAACATAAAATTATAATATTATAGTCTTAATATTGAGCGCCATCTGTATATAGTCGCGAATAGTAAATAAAATAATACTTTTGGGTTTGTTTCCAGACTGTTTTTAAAATAAAAACATAGATGTCACACTAATCGTGATGTCGTGACCTTATTTTCTGGGAATTACAGCCTACTATGAATTCTAGAAAAATCTTTGTTTGGTCGTATTTTGTACGTAAAAACATAAGTTGGGCTGAGCGTGATTTGTGAATCGTTTTTTACAACCGTTACGGAAGTACACTAGCAATACGGAATAAAAAACAAGTCGATTATCGTTTCAGTGAATGTATTTTTTTGATTTTATATGTACTAAGTATCCTTAGGTAAGTGATGTTTACATTTTAATAATTTTTAAGTACAATAAAAAATTGTATATTTTAGCGGCCTCTGTTTCGATTTTAAAATGAGCAGTGACGAGTATGATGATTCGGATTTGGAATCTCCCGGTCCCAGTAAACGACAAAAAGTTCGATATCAACAAAAATACAACATACGTTGGGAACAGAAATTTAGCTGGATATCCGAAAGTTCAAAAGGTAAAACCTTATTTTATTGCAAATGCTGTAGAGATGATTACGTCGGGGGGGTCACAGAAGCTACAAGACACGAGCAAAGTAAGAAACATCAGACAAAATTAAAATCCTCAAAAACTCAGCGGTCAGCCTCAAGTTTCTTCTCAGTGAATAGTGACCACGACAATCAAGTCCAGACGGGTGAAATTAGAATAGCTGCTTTCATAGCAGAACATAATTTACCCATAGTGGTCGCTGATCATATTCCTCAACTGATTCAGTCTATATGTCCTGATAGTAAAATTGCAAAAAGTATTTGTTGCGGGAAAACAAAATGCACCGGCATTATTAAAAATGTATTAGGAAATTATAAATTTACCGAAGTAGTTAATTTGTTACAAAAACAAAAATTTTCCTTGTTAGTTGATGAATCTACAGATAAAGGTACCACTAAACATTTAGCGTTAGTAGTGCGGTTGCTTCAAACTAACATAACAGTAGATTTGTTTTTAACGTTAATACCGATTATAGATGCATCTTCACTACATTTGTATCAGGCAATAAAAAAGTTTTTTAACGATCAAAATATACCTTATTCACAGAACATGATAGGTTTTGCTGCAGACGGAGCAAATGTTATGATGGGTGGAAATCAGTCTGTAGCAAAATATATTACTGATGAGATACCAAATATCTTTATATTAAAATGTTCTTGTCATAGTTTTGCACTATGTGCGTCATATGCCTGCAAGAAACTACCAGAATCGGTAGAAACCCTGGTTAGGGAAGTTTATAAATATTTTAAGTACAGCACAAAAAAAGCTGGACATTTTAAAGAGTTTCAAGTTTTTTGTAACAATAAGCCACATAAGATGCTGCAACCTTCACAAACAAGGTGGCTTTCCTTAGTTGCAGTAGTGAAACGAGTGTTAGAACAATGGGATGCTCTTAAACTGTTTTTTCAAAATGAAGTGATTGAAGACCCTCGCAATGAATTAGCGAAATTAATTAATGAAAAAATGCAAAACATTTTTTGTAAACTTTATTTACAGTTTTTAGATTTTATTCTTCCTTATGCCACTGATCTAAATAAGGAAATGCAATCGGAAAAGCCAAAAATATGTAAACTTTATTGTAGTATAGAAACAGTGTATAAAGTTGTTTTGCAATTTTTTATTAAAGACGCCGTTTACGAAAAAAATAGAGATGTTTTTTATAAAATTGATATTTACAATCCACATAATCTTAAAAGTATAGATGATGTAGACCTTGGAGCTACTGTTATGGTTTATATATTGCGACACCCGGATGTCCCGACAAGTGAACTTAACAAATTTAAACTATCATGTTTAGCTTTTTATCAAGAATTAATGCAACAAATTTCTGACAGATTTCCTTTTGAAAATAATAAATTAAAATATCTTTCCTCTTTAATACCAACAAACATAAAAAACAAAAAAAATATGTCCTTTGCTGCCCTTATCAACCATTTTCCTATTGTTGGTGAAAATAATGTCAACGAATTAGACAGGGAGTGGAAAAAACTCTTAAATATGTCAGAATCTGAATTAGATTTTACAGATGACTTTGAACAGTTTTGGATCAATGTATCTTTATTAAAAAATAATAATGATGAAATGATGTTTCCCTTATTAGTAAAACTGGTAAATCATATTAGAATTTTACCACATAGTACGGCAACAGTGGAAAGAATTTTTTCCGCAATTAATCTAAATAAAACGAAAACTCGAAGTTCATTAAATACAGACACGCTTTGTGGAATGCTCCATACCAAAAGTTTTTTTAAAAACGCCAATGAGGTGTGCCACAATTTTCCCATCGAAAAAGAATTGTTAAAAAACGCCAAAAAATGGAAAAATGTGGAACGCGACATTGATGATTAGAAAAAAAAATTCTAGGGTTTCTATACCGCTGGTTTTTACTTGAAGATTAGTACATATTTATTTTTTTGTTATTTTTTAAAGCTTTGATGAGTTCTCTATTTAACATTTATGATGCTGTTATTTTTATATTGCTTTTTTAAAATAAAACTTTTTTAATAAGTCTTTTTTTTATTAAGTTTTCTAATATTAGTACTATTACTATCCTAATTTATTACTATCCTAAAAACGGCGTATCGGCGTAACGGCGTAACGACCTTGAATAGATTTCCAGTAATTGTATTGGCTGAAAAATTCATCTGACAGAAATTTTATCTGTCAAATTTATTTGTCAAAAATTTCAGCCAATAGAATCACTGAAAATCGATTCAAGGTCGTTACGCCGATAGGCCGTTTCTAGGATAGTGTGGATCTGTGGTGTGGATGCACCCTAAGTTGGCCTAGATCTACGGATTTCTACGGATATTTCAGAGAATAAACACGGAATTTTAGTTCCGAGGAGGTGGCAGCCCTGGGCTCAAAGGACCAGTTCACACGTGGCACTCTTGGCCGACGCGCGACGGTCGGGCTGTCAAAATACATCGAAAAAATAGCGAAAAAACAAAATACGTATTTAAAATTGTTGAGTGAAACATGTCTTAAATTGAAAGTAGTTCGTAAAGTGGCGATAAGAGACGGTATTTCAAAGTAATGTGCGCTTTTCAAGGTGTTTTGTGAATCAGTGGTTCAAATAAAACAGAGAAACATGAAAGAAAACAAATATTGAATTCTAAATTACGATAAACATTTTAGAATTTCTTTTTGTGACCTGGTTGTGAATAATATGATGAATCATTTTCGTAAACGTCATAAACGTAATGTTTAGTTAATTTTCGGTGGTTTTGTTAAGTTTTCATTGAAAGGGTAAGTACTAAAAATAATTAATGTGTTTTTTTTCTATAATAATTATTAATAATGAGGCACTGATGAAAATTTAACATTCTTAATTTTTGAGTAGAAATTTTTCTATGAATTTATAAATGTAGAACTATGTAGAATGTGGATAACATAGGAGATTACAACACTGCATGGTTTAGATACACCGTAGAGAAATCTCAGGTGAATAAACAAGTGGCACTAAAAAGTTTTTTCAAATTTCCCGGAAAATGTCAAGAAAAATTTTAAATTTTCAACATTTTTTTTTCGCAAAAAAAACCTCATAGGCGTGTTTCTGGGGTTGAACTATACTACCAGTTAAAATATCTGCACTTATTTCTGGGACACCCTGTATAATATAAAAAGTAAAAATTAAAAGTTCAACGACTTAGATAACATTTATGCGGAATTTGCCATTATTGCATATATTATTAAAGTAATCCATTTCTTTATCTAGAGTCAATATTTAAACTACTTAGATGTCTCTTCGAGGTATACATATACCTAACTAACTCATCATTCTACACAGGGTAGTTGGTTTTTGACAGGTACAAAATTATTGAACCACCGATTTTTTCGGAAATTATACAGTTTGAAACAAATAAACTGAATTAACTTTTACGTATATGCTGAAACTGGAGTTGGATGACAGAATATTGAAGAAAGAAAAATTCAAAAATGTCTGAAAAATACTACATTTTTAACTGGAGAAATAAAAGAAACCACAATACTTACCCTTTAACACAACTGCCAAGGGTTACTACATAGTTCTCGCTGATTAGGGCGCCATTACACGTAACATCTCCCTTTACAATGGCATGGTATGGAAAAAACTGTGGTTTAGTTTCCACACAATCCTAAATATTAATTAGTTTTAACTATTATAGTCCATAAAGTATAAGAAAAAAAATGGTTTACCTCAGCAAATCCACATGGTAAATAATGAAGAGTAACTAAATAAAGCAGGTATATCTTTAAACGGTACATTTCTACGATCTACTGCCTTTAAGGTTCTGCAAGAAAATGGATAAAAAGAGGGCAGATAACGTTATTTATTGATAAATATAAACTGTCTGATATACGTTAGAAAAAAGCATAATCTTAATAAGCTATAGCCACACAATATTTCATGATTTTATAAGCAAACTAAGACTTCTTATTGAAAGGGGAAAATAATCAAAGAAAAGTGGGGGCTGAAAATCTTATTGCAAAACCATATATCGAAGGTTAAACTATATTCTCAGAATATATGGTAGCTATTCAAATGCAAAAAGAATCAGATACTATCATTCGACACATTTCCGCTATAAGATTTATCGTGGGACGAACCACGGCAGGGATACAACCCAGAGGAGTATTCACAAATAATCGGAAAGCAACCCGTCTCTGGCATATTGATCTGACATTATTGTTTGAAACAACTCCAATAGATCACATTAAAGTTGATCATGCTAAATGCTCATTTGAGTCTCTTTTTGTAAAAAAAGGAGTATAAAAGAAATCCTATAAGATTACCTACACCGCAAGGGCTGAATACACCGCTTGAATCTGAAAAGATTTGTCACAAAGCTATACACCAAGAGGAGATCATTAACCTAAGATGGAAGAATCTGAGTTCAAGGTTAAAGCGAAGGGAGACGAACCTACTATATAAGAACCTGCTTTTACCGCCAGACTGCAACGATATTTCAAACGTGCAAGGTGTTCGTGTGACCAGATTTGTGCTTTTGTGTTTGACTTTGTTTCCAACTGTTGACAGATAAATATTTTTTTAAAATGGATCACAAAATTAATTTATTGCAAGTTGTTGCCTTCAAAAACTTTTCAAATCCTCGTGTTATTTTAAATACAGAATCAACTTCTATTGACACAAAATTGGATATTACTACAGACATCGACATAAATAACGAACTAAATAAATTTATAAACGAATTTGACAACAGTGATGACGTGATAACAGACGACTTTTTAACACATACACAAATAATCGTTGACAATACCGATAAAAAAAATGATTCTGTGATAAAATGTGATGAATTATTAACATGGCCTTCTCAGGAAAATATTTTCGATGATAGTGTAGCTACTTTGTTAGCCAGTTCAAAAGATAATTTAAAAAATAATTTAATAACACTGCCTGTTAATGATTCTGATGACGAAGAATTGATTTGTTGTTCACAAAAAAGTAATCCTGAATATAATAGAAATATTTCCCCTATTTCACCAGCATTTTCCCCTTTGTCACCGTTTATCGAAAATTTTAGTCCCGAAGAAAATGAAAAATATTGTTCAGAATGTAAAGAACATATTTTGCAAAATTTGTGGGTTGGTCATCTGCGTTCAAACAGTCACAAAAACAACTGTAAAACGTTGGAGGAAAAAGGAATTCAAGTAATAAAATCAGCTTTCAAGGAAAGGATAATATCCTACAGATTATTTACCGAAGAAAATATTTTAAATGTTAAAAACTATTTTAAAATATTGGAACAAAAGATTCTACGGGTGTTTGACAATCAACTGAAAAAACATACTTGTATTAAAGTCAATATAGAACTTTTGGATATTACTATAACCCCAGTAACGATAATCATGATGTCAAATCGTTCAACACTCCATTTAAAGTAATTTGTAACAGCAGTGCAACAAAGGACTTAGTAGAAGAGTTTTTAACAATTATTGACAACAAGGCTGATGAATTCGCAGAAAAGGACTCTGGTAAGTGTTATATTTTTAATTTAAATGTAACATAATACATTAATTTTATTTTTGTTTCAGGATGGATTTTACTAAATCTCCTTTTTTTTGGAAATTAACATCAACAAATTCAACCCTTTGAGAGCGTCATCATTTATTGAACTTCCTCCCGAAATAACTCAACGTCAAGCTGTCGTCAACATAAGAAATAACGATGACTACTGCTTCGCATGGTCCGTAGTTGCAGCCCTTCGTCCTCCAACAGGTGTTGATTTTCAAACATCATCATACCCACACTATTCAACAGTTTTGAACACTACAGGTATTGATTTTCCAATATCATTAAAAGACATTAAAAATTTTGAAAATCAAAATAATATTTCTATCAATGTGTACGGTTTAGAAAAATATTATAATAAAATTTCTAATAATGAAGAATATGAAATAATTGGTCCTCTACATTTTTCTAGTGATAAAAAAATATTCATGTTAATTTATTATTAATAAATGATGATGGAAATTTTCATTATTGCTACATTTCCAATCTTTCTAAATTAATTTCTAAACAACTTAGTAAACACAATGGAAGAAAATATTTGTGTGAAGGATGTCTTCAATACTTTGACACAGAACAAAAATTACAGTATCATAATAGTTATGATTGTGATCATGTTAGAATTAATTTACCTTCTAAAGAATTATTTAAAGACAAATACGGAAATGTAGCATAAAAAGTTCCCTTTATAGTATATGCAGATTTTGAACGTATTTTAAAACCTTTGAATGAGAATTATGATGTAGAAAATCCAAATAATTCATATACACTAAAAAAATTTGAACATATTCCATACTCTTTTGCGTATTACATCAAATGTTCATTTGATGATGAATATTCTAAGTTTGAAAAATATAGAGGTTTGAATAGCGAACAAGTTTTTATAAATTATCTAGAACAAGATGTATTAAATTTATATCACACTTTTCTAAGAAATCCTAAAAAAATGAATACTCTATCCCAATTAGAACAAACTACACATAATAATGCCACAAACTGTCATATTTGTGAAAAACCGCTTTTAGGGGATAAAGTTGCCGATCATTGTCACATTACAGGCAACTATAGAGGGTCGGCTCACTCTTTATGTAATATAAATTTTAAAATTCCTAATTTTATTCCAGTTATAATACACAACTTACGTAATTACGACAGTCACCTATTTATAAAGATTATGTGTTCAAATAAAGAACAACTATCAGTAATTGCCCAAAATAAAGAGAAATATAGTTCTATAGATTTGTTAGACTAACATCACTAAAACAAAACATTAAATAAACGCTCCAAAGAGTCGGTGCACTTTTTATCCAAGTTAGCCTGCCGCGGAAATATAATATTCTTAATTATATCTATAACAGAGTCACGCTAGCCAGAACAAATGATTAATCTGAAAAGATGTGTCACAAAGCTATACATTAAGAGCGACAATTTTGGAGAGGAAATTTGGCAAACCAATTGGCCAATATCAATTTTATAATAAATAGCTCAACAAATGAACATATTTTTGACATTGGTATATTGAAAGTGAATGTAGTAGGGAGCTATTTACAAAATAATAGGCGAAGTTAAAGACTGTAGGAGGTGTTGAAATCACGGTGGGGTTTTATATACTGTCTATCGCTTAGTAATATAGTACATAACTAAAATATTAAAGAAACCAGTGTTCATTTTAAATAACTTAACCATGGATTTGCGGAAACCAGTGAAAAAAACACCGCCAGCTGATATATCCTGGGACGAGCCAAAGGAAATGGTTCCACAGCAACTAATCGATACAACTCCACCACCACCAGCTGATAAATCCTGGGATCAGCTAGGGGAGACGGTTCTACCCTTATCATTCGATACATTTCCGCCATACGATTTATCGTGGGACGAACCACGGCAGGGATACAACCCAGAGGAGTATTGTAAAGCAAATCCTATAATATTACCTACACCGCAAGGGCTAAGTAAAAAACAAAAGAAACATTTAGAGAAACTGAACGTAAAGGCGCACTTTATTTAAGGCACCGCAGTGCTATCTTTATAATTTAATGAATGCTCATTTATATAGTACATAAATAACCATTACGTTATCTCATTGAAACATGTATACCAACAAATCCTCCATATGATCCTCTGAAAAACATGGAACTACACTGATTTTCCTTGACAATATTATTATACCATTATACATATATTTTTTAAACAAAAGTTTATTACTTCCCTTTTTTTATTTAGTATTATTAGGATGAGAATGGAGAGCTTAATGACGTGTTCAGAGAGCTACATGATTACGTAAGGAGGCAATGGATTGAACGTGTCACCCCTAGGCATTTCAGTGTATATAGACAGCGACACAGGACTAATAATGTTATGGAATCATATCATCGGCGACTCAATAGCAAGCTAGTTAGATATCCCGGTGTATGGGATTTGATACGTATGTAATAATTCATGTTTCAAAAATCTACAGGAGTATCAAAACTCTACAAAACAATTGACGTCTTTAGTAAATTATACTAACTACATAAGCTTTACTAGAGGAAATGGTTGATATAGATAGGGAGTTCGTTTTCCAAACCAAAGCAAACAAAACATTTTATACATGCAACGAATGAAAAGCTTTGCAAAGGAAAAAACATTAGGTTAATATTAATTATTGCTTATATGGTCTTTTTAGATAAACCAATTCGAAGAGCCATCTGAAAAGAAATAAGACATGCTAAAGAAGCATGGGCTTAAAAATAGATCTTGAAAAATAGATATTCTTGAAAACAGATATTCCTGTCTCATGAAAATTTCCACCAAAAGAAATATGGTTTTTGATGCTCTTTCATAACACGCAAAAAACGTTCTACATTACAGGGAACTTTTGGAAATTTACTAATAAGATATGCATGATAAAAGATTGATGACTAAATGGAATTAAGAATGCTTGAAAAGGCGTGGCAAACCTACAAGTTTAATTATTATAATTTTTATTGTTGTCGATCCAATAATATATACTTATACATTAATTATTATGTTAGAAATTAACAGAGGTGAACGAATAGCTCAGATGATTTGTCACAAAACAGGTTATCCTTCTGTGATCGAATATTCGGAAATGTCATTAGAAACAGTACGTGGTACAAAGAGTTTCGGATCTTGAACTTTGAACAACTGAGTGAACATATTGTAAAGAACATGGATCAAGTGGATAAGTTACTTAAAATTAAAGAAGATTTTTTAAAATGGCTAAAATATTTAAAAAATATAATTTCATTAGTTAGAAAATATTTAAAATGTAAAAAATCTAACATAAAAAGCTACAATAAAGTAGAATCTAAATTTTCTATACTAAAATGTTTCTAGAAATCTCCGTTTCCTCTCTAGATATGACAGGAAAAAATGGCGGATGCATTGTTAAATATTTGACAAAATTACCAAATCATTACAATGAGAATTTCAACTTGCAAACCAAATTACCCTGTTTTATTCATTATAATCGATCAGATTCTCGCGACAGCCCTTGTGTAAAATTTATTTTTTAAGTAAAATAATGGATGTTTACGAAGTTCGTGAGAAAATTCAAATTGTAAAATGGTATTTCCAAAATAGGTCTTACCGAGATATACCAACAATTTTTTCACAAACTTTTGTAAACAGGCCAATTCCTTCTTTACCTACTATATCAAGAGTTATTAATAATTTTGAAACACATGGGTCCGTGTCCCCACAAAAACAGAAAAAGCCTGATGTGTTGATTAATGATGAACAGGAGTTAAAGCAAGTGTTCATTTGTGCTACTGCGGATTAAAATCCCACGTTTTCAAGTAAACAAATTGCTGGGGTAACAGATTCTTCACCTAGCACGGTTAAAATAGTCCTTAAAAAGAATGGATACCGACCGTATAAAGCGCGCAAAAGTCAAGAAATTTTCCATGAAGACCAATTTCGGCGTACGGCGTTTTGTGACTGTGTAATGGAAAAGGCCAATTTAGATGAAAACTTTATTAGGTGTATAGTTTTCGCTGACGAATCAAGTTTTCCTTTATCGAGTCGTCATAACCCTACACAAGTACGATATTGGTCTCTGGAAAATTTGCACAGATATTTTGAGGTACGCTCGCAATATCCTCAAAAGCTAAATGTTCGGGGTAGTTTTGTAGGGGAGCATATGATTGGTCCATTTTTTATAGAGGGTAATTTAAGTGTTGCAAAGTATTTGGGCTTGTGACAGCAGCAGATTGTCCCTAGAACTCGTGAGTTTATTGGGAGAAAGATTGCACAATGTCTGGTTTCAACAAGAGTGTTGCCCTGCTCACAATACCCGTATTGTTCAAGAATATTTGAACAGTACTTTTCCCAACCGTCATACGGGGATTTTAGGACCGCCTAGGCTTCTGTCTAGCACAAGAAGGTGGTCCTTTTGAACACTTGTTATATTTTTTTCTTTAATTCAATTTTTTTTAATATGGTAATAAAACAGCATTTCTTCGTTTAAAAACAGCACATTTTTATTGTCATGTTACAGGGTTGGAGTACGACACAGTTTCGGTCTCGGTTCAAAAGCGCATTCGCATTTTTTTTCGCCACAAACCTTGCATTTTTTATCGTTTTTACCATCTGAAAAAAAAAGAAAAGAATGGAAAATCTCGCCAGTAGAGAGAAGTGATACATTTTAATATTTTGTGCATATTAAGCCAATAAATTTGAGTAAATGTAAATACGTCGTTAACATATTTTCATTAAAAAAATATATCAAATCTTCTCTGGACGCTTACAGAAAGACAAAACGGTTTGTGAATAAAACTGTTTTCATGTGATACATCAATACAAATTAAATGGGCTAACGCACATTGACGCATCAGTCGTGAGGCTTAAGACAGATTTTGACTCATTTAGGCACAGTCAGACAGATCGAGGTCTAAGCCAAAAACGTTTTTGCTAGAGACAAAGTTTTGATCTTTCTGTGTGCGTCTAGCCGTAGATAATAGTCTGTGATTGATGTTTTTAAATACATATCATCAACAAATTTGAACTAATTGAAAAAGGAAAAGAAATAAACAATTTTAGAAAATGTAACAAAATTTTACATTAAGTAGGGTGTTTGGCTTTGTAACTACTCTACAAATAGTTACACTAGCTTGATAAGGTTAGTGACGTGTTAACTATTATTTTACTACGTGCAAATTGACTCTTTTTTAATCCTAACACTGAAATAGCCAGTTACCAAAAATGCAAATTTTTTGATTAATTTTTATTGCATTATTAGAAAACACTAAGCTCTCTAGCTTATAGACAAGGGGAACAATTTATGTTGGCCATTAAATAAGCAAAATGGCGTCTATTATAAACCTTTGATGTTTCTGCTAAAAAAGTGTGATCTTGAATAGTTGTATTTAAATATTTTAAACAGTTTTTTCTTTTTTTTTGGTTTTCCCAAACCAAACCAAACAATACCTTTATTGTTCTTTTTGGTGTAGTAACGTTTTTTGATCACGGATTGATCTGTTATTAAATAACTAGGGTAATACTGAGCTGTTTCAGATTAGAAATTTGGTACTTCAAATGTGCATGTATTAATGTATAATTAATTAGCCAACCTCTACATAGTAGTTGTTTATCCGAGTCTGGTTCTGCATCTTGCAAAATAGTACTTTCGTCATTATCTTTTTTAACCGTTGCCAATATTTCCGAGTCGACCTCAGGAAGAGTACTTTAAAACAAAAACGTTAAAGTACTTCAGTAAACGTTGATTTTTAGATTTAACCGGACACCTTTTCAAAAACGATGAAATAATTTGATATAGTCCCGCAGAACCTGAAAGTCTCTAAATAATTTGACTTCACTGACGTAATTTTACACTTAAGTGGATCCTCATCCGTGAGGGGTTTGTATTCCTTTGTATTCTTTATCAAATTATATTAATAGGTTATGTTTATCACCTTTTTCAGCGCGAATTGACCTATTTCATCAACTTGAAAGTTTGTCCAGTTATAAACAGGCATGATCGAATGAAAACGACGTTATAATAGTCCCGTAGATGGTTCAGAGTTCACATTATTTTTAATCAGAATTATTCACCACACTATAATCACTATAATCGAATTGGGAGAGTGAATCGTGTACTCAAAAGTATGCATGTTAGAGGCATATGTACAAGAGAATCATCAGAAATGGGATGATCGCTAGAATTGGAATGTTTGGTTGCGAGTTCTCACCAAGTTAATCACAATGACTATTGTGGCGCCCTTTCATGAGTTATAACCCATCATACAGGCTCAAGGCTTCGACAGAAGTTACAGAAGTTAGTTCTCCATCTCCGATATCACTCGTACCAAAGTTTATGGGACGAATGGTTGTCGTCTCGGCGTACTCAGCAATCAGGTGTTCTGGCGTCTCCACAGAATCTGCATTCGCTGTTGTTTCTTAGCTTCAATCTACTTAGGTGTTCGTTGAGGAGACAGTGTCCTGAAAAACCCCGTAACAATCCGAAGATTCTTCTATTTTAAATCAAGGAAAATTGAAAGGCTTGCAAGAATATCTTGCCCATCTCTTGACAGAGTGATTGCTTACTTTGCTTAGCAAGTATCTCAGCACCCCCTGATAATAACCAAAAAATAAATAACTATTTACCTAAAAGTACAAGATCTGTGAGGACTTTTTTTTTGGATGCCGATAAGATAGTTAAGACATTGACTTGAATTTCAGTCCAATTGAAAAATAAATTTGGAATAATATCTAAAATCAAAGGAAAAAGACTTGAGGCTATAAACTTGTCGAGAGAATAGCAATAATTAGCCCAAATTCAGTGATAATTATATCAGGATAGACTGAAATAAGGGAATGAGTCAGTCGGTCAGCCAGGTAGCCAAACCAACAAAACTTGATCGTATTTTCAAACTTCAAAAGAGAGCAGTTCGATATTTATTGGGACTGAGTGAGAACTCACTGCCAGAATTTCTTTCAACATTTCAAAATACTGACTCTTCCTTCTTTATTCATTTTTGAATCCGTTTGCTTAATCCGCAAGCACATATCTGCTGTTCCCGAAAGGCCATCCCACAACTATCCACTTAGGAATGCGGAGCACGATCTTTATCTGCCAACCCCGAGCTCAGAACTAGTTAAAGCCTCAATACTGTACAATGCCAAAAAATGTACAATCATCTGCCTTTGAATATCAAGTCGCGAACTCATACTGACTGGAGAGAGCCCTATATGCCGTGAACGACTTTTTTGTTGATGTTTAATCATGAACAATTTTGAATTTTAAAATTTTGATCATCTCACACACTGGACAAAAGTCGAGTATTTAACAGTTTATAACTCTTAAAATTATATCCATTATTAAATTTTATTGATCCACCTTTTTTGTGTTCTGCAATGTCCATGTATGTTCTATTTGTAATTTTAATGATTATATTTTTTGTGCTTTTTTTTTGTTTTGTAAATGCTTTGTCGATGAAGCTATTTTGGCTTCTTGCACAATAAAGCGTTACTTATTATTATATTATTAAGCACTAATCGAATTGTTATTTCTACGTTGACTCCGACATGGTTTTCATTAGATCACACCCGATATTTGCCTAAGTATTAATTGATCGTCTCACCTATTTTGCGATTTCGAGTTTCCAAAATCATTGAACGGGACGTTTTTTCCAAATTTGCCGTTAACATTGTCATCGCCTTCTGACACTTCTCTACGAATGGCATCGTAGCAACCACAGGTGTACCGATTCTGTGACGGTACGCATTTAGTGCAGGAGCACGGAACATTGTCTAAAATATAAAGCATAGACAAAGAAAGCGTTAGCGCATATTATAAATATGCCTATACGATAAAAAAAAAACTACGAAATGGTGGCATTGTTGTAAACCTACATTTAATATACGAGGCATGTTTTTTAAGTAAGTACCGTTTTGGAATTAAAAAAAAACGTGCAAAGATATCGCAATAAATTTATTTCTACATGAAAGCCTGTACCTTAATCTACTTTTCTACATAATTTCCGTGAATATTGAGGCACTTGTCATAACGTGGCACCAGTTTTTCAATATCCTCCTCATAAAATTCTGCCGCCTGACTGGTTAACCACTGTATCACAACTGTTTTGACTTCATTATCGTCTTGAAGACGCTGACCGCCCAGGTGTTTCTTCAAGTGCAGGAATAAATGGTAGTCACTGGACGCCAGATCAGGGCTGTATGGAGGATGATCTAGAGTTTCCCATTTAAAAGATTTGATGAGATCTTTGGTCCGATTAGCCACATGTGGACGGGCATTGACATGCAGCAAAACAATACCCTTACTCAACTTGCTACGTCTTTTGTTTTGGATTGCACGGCGCAGATTATTCAATGTCTCACAATAAGATGCTGCATTGATTGTCTCATTACGAGGCAGAAACTCCACTAGCAATACTCCTTTTCTGTCCCAAAAAACTGTGCACATGATTTTCCGGGCAGAAATTGTTTGCTTAAACTTCACTGTTTTGGGTGATGATGAATGTCGCCATTCCATGGACTGTTATTTCGATTCTGGTGTGACGTAGGCCACCCATGTTTCGTCACCAGTAACAATTTTGTCTAAAAAATCTTCACCTTCATTGTGGTACTGCTCAAGGAAAGTCAATGCACTGCCTAAACGTTGGGTTTTGTGCAAATCCGTCAACATTTTCGGAACCCAACGTGAACACAATTTCCGGTAATTCAAGTTCTCGGTCACAATACGATACAAAACACTACGAGAACATTGAGGAAAGTAGTCGCACAATGATAAAATTGTAAAGCGTCTGTTTTCTTTTACCTTTTCGTCCACTTTCTGCACCAAATCTTCATTAACGACCGAAGGACGCCCATTCCGTTCTTCATCATGCACATTTGTGCGGCCTTCTTTAAATGCTCTCACCCATTTCCTTACCATTCCATCACTCATAATGTTTTGTCCGTAAACTTCACAGATCTCACGATGAATATCGATCGGTTTTACGCCTTTAGCACTAAGAAATCGTATGACAGCCCGTACTTCACAATCGGCGGGGCTCACGATTGTCGGGGGCATCTTAAACACTCAATAAACAACGTATACAATGAAGAATCAGACTGTACTGGCGTCTGTGCATAGACAAGAGATGTAGGTAACCAGCGCGCATGCGCGGAACGCCGACCGTAGCGCTGCGGCGGCGGAATCGCAAAACGGTACTTACTTAAAAAACATGCCTCGTAGTTATAACGATATGTGTATTCTACAAATTATATAATGGCTATGCTTAAAGAATCTAAAGGTGTCCATTCACATACAGTTCGAGGGCAGTTCTAGGACTGTACGATTTGAACTGAAGATTTAAACTTTGTACGGCCACAATGCAGTTACGTCGAACGATGCGTTTTGGGCCTGTCAGTTTTTGAACTGAAGAAAAACTGTGCTTTCACCACACACACACAAACATATCGTCAGTTTTAATCGAACGATCCTGAAGTAAAAAATGTTTTTAAATACAAAAAATACACTTCTCGTGCTTTTGTTATTTCAAGAACCAATTACAAAAACAAAAAAGCACGTCATATACGTTTCTTCTGTTTGTATTTCGAGTTTTTTTTAAAAAGCGGTTTTGCAGCTCAGAAAATATAATTGGCGCTGCGAACAGGATCCGCTTCACTGGCCTTTAGCGATCTATCGAAGACTGTTGTGTCAGGCAAGATTTCAGTCTTTTGGAAGCATCCATAACAACCTTCCGAAAAGTCCTAGAAGATCCATCGTGGAAATCCTGGGAGCAACGGAAACCCAGTAACGACATTTGCCTACTTGGATTGGAATTGGTCAACCTAGACGTCCCCAACTCTAAAGAAGCTATGTAATTTATGTAAGTGATATTTTTATTTACGAAGATTATTGCAAATTATTATTTTTATTTATGTATCAAGATAGATCACCTTTGAGTAGATCATCATCACCCACATTATTTAATAATATAAGAGTAGAAATGACTAACCCTACTACGTTATCGTACAACGAAATTCAAACTCGATTTAATTTTGCAAAATGTATGGTCCCCGAATATTACGGAGGCTCAAAAGAATTATGCTATTTTTAAAAAAAAATTAGAACAATTTATACAAAATTTTACTTTTACGGATACGACATTAAACAATTATTTTCTAGAATACGTTTTTTTCTCAAAAAGGCGAAGCCAGAGATTTAGTTATTTTAAACAATCCAAAAGATTTTAGCGAGTTAAAAACACTTTTAACGTCTAAGTACACGGAAAAAAATCATTTCTATATTCAAGAACAATCATACACTTAAAATTTTACACTTTCTTTAAGGAGAGTATTCTTTCCATGAGTACAACAAATATTTGGAACTGTTTTACTTTTACACTTGCTTTTTAAATATAGTTATAGTCACTTTAAGTAATTTTGAATCTAAAAAAAAGAATAAAATGACTTATATTTAAGAAAAACTTATATTACTATCAAGTGAATAAATCCTTTAGCAACGAAGAAACTATTATTAAATGAAGTATAAATGCTTTTATATAATAATAAGTAGTATTCTTAACTTTTTTAAAACGTTTACTTGAAATCGGTGTATTAAGACTTTAAATAAGTATATTATTCTCGGCGCGAGAATAACGCCCCATTTCCAAGAGTTACTATTCTTATATTAAGTGACCATCCCCAACAGCAACAACGCAACAGTGCATTCCTGATTCCTATCTTCATTTGGTTTCTGTTTCTCCTCTGCGACACGAGACGCGCCGGGTACTTTATATAAAGTTTTTTTGTTATCGTTTGTGCTTGTGATATGTTAAAATGGAGGACCTTCTTCAGGTATGGGAGATGACGGATTTGATCCCAAAATTTCAAGGTAATTTTAGCAATAATCCTACATTATTTGATGACATTGGTTTGAGGTTAGGGGGACTCCATTTTAATATGCATTATTTCTTATACATTGGTGGTAAACTAGGTATGTACGCGTTTGGAATGATTCAATTATGTTTTAACAATTTCTATTATCGTTTCTCGTTTTCAATTAGCGATGCCGGTGTTCAATATCTACCTATATTGGGAAATTACACAGTTTTATTGTATTTTCTTATTACGAAAAGCATATAATTTGGTAGGTGATGTTTGGCTAATCTAATTTAAAAATATTGTCGGGACCTAGCTGGGGGTTGTTTGCTAGGGTCGCTATACCAGGTTCTCTCTCTCAATCAAAACAACCATTGGATAAAATATGCATTTATTTATAACAATATTCGGGGTTATTCTGGTGGTATTTCAATATTCCATACCTATTGGAAATGGAAATTAAAATTTTTAGCATGTCCCAACTCTATTATATTCATGTATGTTACCGGGCAAACCCGATTTTAGGATAAACTAGTTTTTCTCAGGACAAATATTAACCGGGATCGAAAAACTATATAGTTCTCACAAAATTCGGTAACGTGTTCCCTATGCTTTCGGAGGTTCGGGTTCGATCTTGTTAGAAACTCTTGTTTTGGTAAAATCTTTTCTTAATTTCCATTTAACAATAGGTATGGAATTTTGAAATATCACCAGAATAATCCCGAATATGGTTAATACTTTTTAAATTAGATTAGCCACAAACATCACTTACCAAATTATATGCTTTTCGTAATAAGAAAATACAATAAAACTGTGTAATTTGCCAATATATGTAGATATTGGACAGCGGCATTGCTAATTAAAAACGAGAGACAGTAATAAAAATTGTTAAAACATATTAGAATCATTCCAAACGCGTACATACCTAGTTTACCACCAGTGTATAAGAAATAATGCATATTAAATTGGAGTCCCCCTAACCTCCAACCAATGTCATCAAATAATGTAGGATTATTGATAAACTTACCTTGAAATTTTGGGATCAAATCGTCTTCTCCCATGCCTGAAGAAGGTCCTCCATTTTCACATATCACAAGCACAAACGATAACAAAAAAACTTTATAATTTTATAAACTACCTAGTCGGCGCGTCTAGTAACTAACCTAAAAGTAAGAAGAGGCTTTATTTTATAGTAGGTGATATTACACTTGAATAAAGTAATTATTATATGTACACAAAGAATTTCTATACTTAATGCAATAATTTGCTAATTTACAAATAAGTATAAGTAGTACTCGAAACAAGATTTTATCTCGAATTGTCTGGAGTGTAGTTATAATCTTAATTTCAATACTAGGTAAATCTTAAATAAAAGATAAATTTTCTTAGTTTCTAAGGATAAGGTTTTCTTGAAAAGAAGTATAACTAGATTTGCGGAATGGGGAAACTAGCATATCGTTGGTTCAAGATTAATAATCTTTAAGCCAGTTTAGCTTTTTTACGTGTATAAAGATCCGCGAAGTGAACAATTACTTCTTAATTCATTAACGACTTATCAACTGCCAAACCAAGATGTTGAGCACTATACGAATGAATTAAAAATACGACTTCAAAGGTTGAAAGAAAATGTTCAATTAAATGATGATTCAGTAGTAGCACAAGTTAAAGTGCAATGTTTGATGAGCAGGCTCGTTGTACATTTATTGCGGGATACGTGACCCTTATAATTATATTCACATTGTAGGATACATTATATCTACATTGTAGGATATACGATAATTTACAACAATAAAATAATTATTTAAATTTCTTAAGACGAAATTCAAAGCCAATGAATTTCAATAATAATAATAATAATCATAAGCAAAATACTTTTCAACAAACTCCACATAAACCTTTTCATAATAATAATTCTAATAACAAGCAATCCAATTTTCCCCGAGGCACTATTAATCTCCCAGCTTCTAGACCTGTTGAAAGGCACTTCCCGACTAACAGACAAGTTTTTGGTCGTCCTGCTAATGCATTTAGACCACAAAATAATAATAATCAGAATTTACCTAAACCTACACCTATGTCAGTGTCTACTAGAAACACTTATATTCCAAAACAACAACAAAATCCTCATAACAACAACTATAATCGTAACAATAATTATAATCATTTTGCTAATCAAGGGAGAGCTCATCCTAATATAATTATAGAAGAAGTACATACGAATAACGTTAACGAAGAACCATTAAACGGAAATTCCTCATCGTCGGTAATAGACGAACAATTACAAGCAAATTTTACCCGCCGAATAAGAAAACATAACTTAGATTTAAATAATTACAATTCGCGTACCCGACTTCCTTTAATTATTAGTAAAAAATATAAATTTTAATTGACACACGCGCATCATTTCGGTTTTCTCCTGCTTTAAAAATTCCAATTTTTAAAGAATTCGGAATAAATACTTTAGTTGAGTTTTTAATTTTACCATGGCACACAAGAAATATGATTGTTTATTAAGCTTTAAAGATTTAACTGCACTTCAATGTACGATTGATTTAAAAAACAATCTAGATATAAATTATTTCGAGGATATTAATGATTTTTCAATAAATATAAATGTTAATGATGGAAATGTGTTAGTTCCTTCAATAAGAATAAATGAAAATATTATATTACCGGAGAGTATTTGTAAGGCAAAAAATTATAAGGTTTTCTTACCTATCGAGATAAATAATATAGCTACTAATGAAATTCTACCAGTAACCCCCTTAGAAAATTACTTAGAGGTACAACAAATGGAAGAAAATGAAAGTAACTCAATAAAAATTAATGAAATCATTAGAACTAACCATATGAACGAAGAAGAAAAATCCGCAATTATAAAGTTATGCTATAAGTACAAAAATGTATTTTTTAACCCAAAAGAAAAATTAACTTCGTGCAATTTAACAACACAACATATTAGAACGACGAACCAATTTATATAAAGAACTTTCGATACCCGTATCATTTAAAAAAGGAAATCCAAAATCAAGTAAAAAAATTATTAGACGACATAATTAGACCTTCGATATCTCCTTATTCTAGTCCAGTGTGGATTGTCCCAAAGAAACTAGATGCTTTAGGTCAAAAGAAATGGCGTATGGTTATAGATTTTCGCAAATTGAATGAAAAAACTATAGAAGATAAATATCCGTTACCACGCACTGAGGAAATTTTAGAAAATTTAGGGAAATGTCAATATTTCAGTACGTTAGATTTAGCACAAGGCTTTCACCAAATTCCTATGGATGAAAAGTCTATAGAAAAAACAGCATTCACTGTGGAAAATGGCCATTGGGAATACGTACGCATGCCTTTTGGATTAAAAAACGCTCCGGCCACTTTTCAGAGAATGATGGATCATGTTTTACTCGAATTTTTACACAAATCCTGTTCGCAGCGCCAATTATATTTTCTGAGTTGTAAGCCGTAGCTCGTAATAAACGTTTCTTCTGTTTGTATTTCGAGTTTTTTTTAAAAAGCGGTTTTGCAACTCAGAAAATATAATTAGCCTTTCTGGGTGAAAGATTGGTTGTTACAACGTGATACATTATCTCATATGAAGTGCGAAAATTAAGATCTAGTGCAACAGATGACCTTAAAACCTACCTCAGAATGAATGACACATCTTTTGATAAACTTTTAAAGACGGTTAAGCCCTTACTATCAAAGAAAAATACAAAAACACTTGGATTTTCGCGTTTTTTAAGTTCTTTTCGGAAAGCAATTCGCAAATTGCTTATTCTTTTCTTTACAGAATCAATAGTTTTATCAACAGTTTTATAAAATTCCAACAATTTTTCATAAGCTTTAGTTTTTTCCTGTTTGTCTGAATAAACTTTATTTTTAATTTTCTACAGACAGCGCAATTGCCTATACATATCAATAAAATCGGTTAAAAGAGTCGTATTATTACTTAAATCGTTCATCTTGATATAGTCTGTGAAACGAATAACTTTGAATTTGACAGTTCCCGCGCGCTTTTCTAGTGTTAATTTTATTAGGTTAGCAACTTGCGGCCATGCTGACGCAATGCCGTCTCTAATAGAACAGCCAAGGAGCGAGATTTATGACGTCACGCTAGATAGATACTACGGATTAATAAATATGTTGTAGAATACATGGAAAACATAATTATTCCTCGTATTTTTGGTTTGTATTTTAAAAATGATATAGTTTACATGAAATATATATAATATACAGTTAATAACTTTTTTAATAATATTAATTTATTATTATTTATTGTTTTTGTTTATTTTTAATATTATGTTTATTTTTTAAAATTATTATTCTTAACACTAAATCTATCTACATTGATTATGACTGAAATCGTACTCCATCCTAACTAACCTAAATCCCAAGAAAATAAACAATTTTAGAATAATTTTACATATAAAATGACAGCGATCTTTATTTTATAGCCATCGCTTCTTGATATTGATATTTAATGACATTAACAGTGATACTTAACTAAAATATACATATAAATTTTGTGAATGCAAATAATAATACATCAGTATTTAAATTAGGACGATTTTCAAACCCCAAAATTTAAAATATATTTTACATTTTACTCATTATCATATGTACCTATTCATTATTTGTATATTGTAAAACATTTGCTGCATTTGTATGATTTATAGTATATTTGCCAAAGTATTTATTACTATAAATAGGTATATATATTGTATTTATTAACTGTATATTATGTATATTTCATGTAAACTATATCATTTTTAAAATACAAACCAAAAATACGAGGAATAATTATGTTTTCCATGTATTTTACAACATATTTATTAATCCTTAGTATCTAACTAGCGTGACGTCATAAATCTCGCTCCGAGGCTGTTCTATTAGAGACGGCATTGGTTTGATATTTAGAAATATCAAAAGCTGATGACATTTTACTTTTGGCAATTATGACATTTCGTGTTGATTTTTGCAAGAAGAGGAAGTTTTATTATTTTCCTTTTCTATTTCACGAAAGTAAAAAGAGTCTCAATTTAAAGAATATCAGTAACTTTTTTGGTAGAGGGATTTTATATTTGTCATGTTGGTAAAAAACAACGGTCAAAATTCAAAGTTATTCATTTTATAGACTAGAGTACAAAACTTCCAACTTGTCAAAAGATGGGAACGTACGATTAGAACTGTCGATTTTTCGCCATACACTTCAGTGGGCCGTGAGATTCAAGCTATCTTCAGATTCAGACCTATCGACGGTCTGTATGTGTATGGAGAAATTTTAACTGAAACAAATCGACAGTTCTGGACTGCCGGCGACGTGTATGCAAAACACCGACAAAAATAACAGGCTAGTAAGCCTCTTATTTTTGTCGGTCTATTCAGAGATTGAGTTTCGGGACGCGACTAGGTCTAACAACATTACTCATGCCACTGACTACGGCTGCTGAATTTTTGTATTTGTACTGGTAATTTAAAATAAAAATATAATAATAATAATTAATAACTGGTTTAAATAAGAAAATAATAATAAATAAAATTCAAAAATTCAGTATAGTGTAAAGAGGTATCAGTAAAATACAACATTGGTGATACCGGTCCTCAAATGACAACAGTATGTCGATTCTGAACGGCCTACCTTCCTTATATCGCTGACAATTTTCCATATAACAAAGAGGTACAGCAGGAACCTTTCCGGTTTTGAAGTTAAACCGTTTATTTGTCGCTACATTTTGTAAAGGCACTTGAGAAAATGTAGTAAATCTGAAAAAGAAACAGACAGGGTAACAGCATAACAGCATAAAAAGAAGACAGAGTTCCCCAATTATCGCTTGCATACTTTCGTAAGAGTTTCCGAATAAATACCGTGTAACAGATTATTTCCTTTATATTATAAAAAACAGATTATTTCCTATGTCCTTTACGTTCAAGTCGATGTTTTCGGTTGTTAGTTTCGGGAGACGATCTTTTTAACAGGAAGTAATAAAACAAACATCTTTCAAACGTGAATATTTTTAAATTCCCAAACTTATAGAAGGACGAAGCAAATAAACTGTAGAACTTAGAAGTAAACAGAAAAATTGTAAACATAGACCTTAGATAAAAACGCTGGGACGTTGTAAAACCAATAACCACCCTTGATATCGCCGGATGTTTGTAAAGGATCTGTGAACTTTAGAAAAGCACGTACCTAAATGTAAAAGGCGCCAAACGAGAATGAAATACGTAAAATGGTCATAGGACTGCCATCTAACAACGGGAGGTCGAACCAACTTGGTTTGAAGGGCGGCGTCAAGCTGACCAATCAAACAAAGAACAGTACCTTTAGGGATGATCCTATTGGCTAAGTACCGAATGCACCACCCTTCAACCATGTAATGTTGGAACCTCGGGGCTGTTTTTAGGCACAAAATTTAGTTCGGTTTGAGTTTCTAAAAGACACGGTTCTCCCTCGGGTTCGCGAAACTCGGTATGGTTCACGATGTGACCCCCTGTAGTTTTTAAGTCCTTTTGTCAAATGTTTTTTAATTTCTGTTTTATTTTAATGTGTTAATATAGTAACGAAGACACCAGACAATTTTCTTGTATTTTTTCCATCTTTTTTTTATTCTGAGTAATAATAAGTAACTTAATTTTTTTATATATATATTTTCTTTTTGTTCTTTATTTTTTTTCTTTAATATTAAATTTAAATGTTTTCTGAAAACTCGGCAGTTTTATTTCTATAGTAAAAAATTACTAAGTGTTAAAAAAGTATAAAAGTAAGATCATTATGAACGAGCACAATATCTCCAGAGCAGTCCAGAAAAGACTCCAGAAATGAGCTACAGATTTACAGACAAAGGTTGGGCCGCAATTAAGGTAAGTTATAGTAGATTTGTGTAACTAACATCATCAACACAAAGCATTAAACATACGCCCCAAAGAGTCGGTGTACTTTTATTCCAAGTTTGCCTTCCGCTCAACTTAATTGTTTTTATAATTATAAAATAGTCACGCTACCCATAGACAAGTGATTAATCCGAAAAGATTTGTCACAACCGTATGATCGAATAAAAACGGCGTCACCGATGGCTATGAAATGAAGATCGCTGTCATTTTATATGTAAATTTATATGGGAAATGTCATCGATCGTCATTTCCAAGCCAACTGGACGCCGTTTTTATTCGATCATACGGTATAATAACTATTAAGTGATTGTAACCATTTACAACATTAAAATTGTAAAATTTTTATTGTTACGTTTTTTTGTGTTCTACAATGTATGTATGTATGTATTGTTCTATTTGTGATTTTAATGACGTTTTTTTTGAATTGTATGATTTGTATTGTATGATATTTTTTATTATTTGTATATTTTTTGTGCTTTTGTTTGTTTTTTAAATGCCTTGTCGATGAAGCTATTTTGGCTTTTTGTACAATAAAGCTTTATTTTTTTTTCTTTAATTAGATAAGGCTTTGAATTATCCACAAGGAATCCAGTAAGAACGTAACAATATAAATTTTAAAGTATACATTCAAAAGCAGTTTAATACACACCTTCTAGGTCTGTTTCCTTCAAAAATTCCTTTGTCCGGTGATGCTTTTTGGTAGAAGATCTTGTTCTCTTCACTGAAAGATTTTGCAGTATTTGGAGGATCCTTGCTTGGCGACGGGTAATGAATGTTATCTAAAAAATGATATGTCTTGTTACTAAATATGTGCGCTTTGTTCCATTGGTGTTTGAGTAGACTGTATCTGAGTAGTTTCCTGACAATGTTGAAAAAAAAAGTTGTTTGCTATCTGAATTACGCAAAACTTGAGGCAAACAGTTCAGCCAACAGGAAGTCTCTTATGATCTAATAACTATGACTCTCAAATTTTGGATATACTAGAGTTACATACAAATTCTCATCTATATATCTTTTTTTCCTTTAACTGTATATGCATAACATTATTTTTAAGAATTATATATTTTGTCATGAAACAGTGGCGTATCATTAATTAGCTCATTAATTTATGAATAATTAATTTTAATCATTGAAAATGTGTACTTGTTTCCACACTACCCAAGAGGTAAAGTACATTAACGTGGTCTCCCCGGAGGCCTACTCCACTAGGTAAATTAAAAACTTTAACTTATCTGCACAAGCCCGACGGATCTGCCTCATTGATGTTATAGCCGATCGTGTCTGCTGTGCTGGGCTCATCAGGGTGGTCATACGTCCAACTCTTCATCTTCAGCCGCCAGAGGGATATCTACAGGCAAGTCCAACTCCTCTGTAGTGAATCGATATTTTTGCAAATAGGTATAAATATTTAAATAAAAATTAAAAATTTTTAATTAATTAAATACAAGGTCAAGTTTTCTTTAAAAATCTCCAAACAGTAAGTAAAAATTCTTCAATACTCTGAAAGAACACATTCCAGGACTCGTCATAGGCGGCCTGATTTTCGAGGTCAGAAAACAAAATTCCTTAGAAAAAATGCACCAATTAGAACGCACGTAGCCATCCTAAAGAACGGTGGGACAATAGATTCTTCGAGAGAAGTGGCAAAATTTTACATATAAATACGGGTCCAGAAGTTCATAAAGGTAGTCTTTGGGCAAATATCAGTTGCAGCTCGTCGTAATGCCCAAATGTTGACCGGTTTTTATTTTATATTATTAATTTAATAAATAAATATTCTAGTCGGGAGTTATAAAAGTTTTGAACGTAACATACTAGATTTTCAAGAGTAAAATAAAATATTCGGGAAAAACATAGCGAGAGAAAGAAAAAAGGAAATATTAAATTAGTTGACTGATTTCGTGAAGAAAAATATTAACGGTCGAGTTTCAGCGAGTATAAAGAAAAAGGTGTATATACAGAGTCTAACTAGCGAGTCGCGTGTCCGTGTCGAAATAAGTTGAGGAAGGTCGGTATTAAGTGCTTTACGAGTATTGACCCCGAAAGCAGAGATGATACTTAAAAGTAAGCGATAGACGATAGACAAGTGTGTTATAAAAGTGACTGTATTTTTGAACGAAACTATAAACTGAATGAACCAAGAACTTATGTAATAATCGATTTTAATTTACTTATAACATTTCTTTTTAAAAAAAGGCATTGGCACTGGTGGTTTAGTTTAATAAATATTTTGCATAAACATACTACAGGGTTTTTCTGTGTTAAAAAGGTATAAAATTCATGTTAAATAAGCTCCCTTTTCAACAAGTCAAATTTAGTACAAGAGCAGGAACCCAATAAAGGACTCATCTGGTGGAAGATAAGAAGAAGAGTGTTTTTGTAGACGCCAACGGGGGAATTGGGCGAAATTAAAGTAAGTGAATATTATTTTCTTGCGCCCAAAATTGGCGGTCGCTACACCTCTTCATCGGATTCATCGAATGACACTTCAGTGACGTTGTCACAGAAATGACGTTGTTCCCATTGCAGTATGCACAAATCATTGAACATTTTAATCCTGCTTTTCTGCATCCGCACGCTTTACCACAGTTGGTGGTCTTGCATTTACAGGATAAAAATGCCAATAGGGATTTTGAAGCTGGATCTTTCAACGTTGTGACTGGAGTAATGCCTGTTTGTGTTTTCTTCCAACCCTATTCTTTGGCATCTTTGGTACAACCAGACCAATGCTGAACCTGGTGGTAAGTTCGCAATGAATGCTGTCCAGCACGACAATTAATTATTCACAAATTAATGTGCGAATTAATGATACGCCACTGTTTCATGACAAAATTGAAGAAACTAAACTAAAACTAGTTTTAGTGAACACTAATCGACATTTGATTTCGGAAACTCGACTATATGTATATCATACTTTACGAAAAATTGTTAAATTTCCAGTGATTTTGTTCGTAAACGGTTGACTTTAGCGAACATTTTCATATAACCTTTTTATAGGAAATTTTATTCTCTTTAATTTTGCTCTCTTCAATTTTTTGCGAAAAACGCATAGTTTTTGGGCGCCATCTTGGCAAGATGGCGGCGCCGGCGGCAAGTCTGGAGATGTGCATTTTATGGATTTTAGTTAGAGACCCCAAAACCTATAAACCTGCAAAGTTTCAAAACTTCCGGACTTTTTTCCAAGCAAGCCCCTTTTTTGATCCCCAATGACTGAACTATTGAGTAAAATTTACGAACCCATAGCATTCAAATCCACCTGATATTCTTCTAGCAACTTCTCGCCGCAGGGTAGATGCGTTATGAAGTCGTCCTGATCGAGCTCGATTTCTAACAGATCGACTTCGTCTTTGTTTTCGTCGTCATTATCATTCAATGGATCACTTTTGCCGAAAAGTCTCGACTGCATGATAAAATCCAGCTGTTTTCGTATGTTATCATTTGTAGTTATCTAAAATTCAGTAAAATATACGCTTTTGCAGATCGTACTCATGAATAAAGAATTGACAGACATTTTATGACAACTTTCAGGACGATAATTCAATTCAAAAAAACCAGGCATTGTAATTTTAATTCGCAATGGATTGATCAAAGTTTTATATACAGGGTGGTCCGAACTGTATTCCGTTATATTAACTTCGGCAGCATATTCTTCGAGAGAGAGAGGGGTATTGATTTATAGAGCGCATCAACAGCGGGGGGTTTTTTAGCGCTCAGTAACAAGCTTTACTCAATGATTATTTTTAATTATTTTAAGTTCGTTATGTTGATGCTGTCTAAGAATTCCATAACTTTATTAATCTTCGAAATGTTAAAAGGCGCGAAAATATTCTCATAGGTAACAGCATTAAAGAATCTAGACCTATGGGAGGCAACAGGTAAGCATTCAAAAAGAATGTGTCTCATTCACATTAAGTTACTGCATAAGAAGCATTTCGGAAGGGGTTCGTTTCTGATAATATATGATTTGGTAAGATATGAGTGTCATGTGAGGGTTCTAACAACTTTAAAAAAAAGATCCGCGTTAAAGAGAATATATATTTTGATACAGATGAAGAACTGGCATATGTGATCTAAGTTTATTAGTTCCCTCGAGGATGTCCCATTCATTTTGAAGTATATTGAAGAACACTTTTTTGTGGAAATTTCTGAAATCGACAACGGATGGAGTCCCTTCAATATTATGTAAGAGCGTTGCCTCGTTAGCCAGTTTGTCTGCTCGGTCGTTACCAGCAATGTCAGAGTGTTCAGGAATCCACATAAAGTTAACATTGTAGTTTCTTTCGGTAAGTTTATATACTAAATCTCGAATGCTGCAGGTTAGAGAGTTTTTGGAGTTTAAAGAAGCAATACTGTTGAGGGAATTAAGTGAATCAGATTCTTCTTCTTACGACGCCGTCTCCTTTCGAAGGTTGGCGATCCAAATAGGTAACGTCATTCTAGATACAGCCATACGAAATATGTCGATTGATGAGCAACCAAACCATCTACGAATGTCCTTTAGCCAGGAATTCTGGCGTCTGCCGATAGATATTTTGCCCTGGACTTTGCCTTCAATTATTAATCTGAGAAGTTCATACTTTTTACCCCTCGTTATGTGGCCTATGTAGCGTGTTTTTCTTTCTTTGATGGTAAGCATGAGTTCTTTCTGTTTTCTCATTCGATTAAGAACCTCCACATTTGAAACTCGTTGGACCCCATGATATTCTTAATATACGGTCCCAAATATACATTTCGAAGGCATCTAGTTTTTTTTCTAACGATATGTCAAGGGTCCAACTCTCACACCCGTACAGGAGAACTGAAAAAATGTAGCATCTGACCATGCGTACCCGTAGCTCCAAACTCAAATCTGACCTTGTGAAAAATTGTCTCATATTTATAAATGTTTTTCTAGCCTGTTCTATGCGGCTTCTAATTTCTTTCTTCGGGTCGCATTGATCATTTACAATACACCCCAAATACTTGTATGAAGACACTTGCTCTACTGGGTCGCCGTTGATATCCAGGTGAATCTGCACAGGTGTTTTGGTGAATGCAAGAACCTTCGTTTTTGTAGTATTTATGAGGAGACCGCAGTTTTCACTATGCCGAACTAATTCATTCATTAGCCTCTGCAAATCTTGTTCATTCTCGGCCAGCACAACTGTACCGTCGGCATACCTGATATTATTGATCACTTTCCCGTTAATCTTAATTCCACATTCGATTCCTTCTAGAGCTTCTTTGAAGATAGCCTCTGAATATATATTAAATAAGAGCGGTGACAGCACACAGCCCTGTCTTACACCTCGTTTAATCGTGATTTCTTCTGACGATGTTCCTTCAATTTTAAGCACTGCGTTTTGCTGCCAGTAGAGATTTGTAATCAATCGAATTTCTTCTCTATCTATTCCGGTTGTTTTGAGGACTTCTATACGTTTTTGATGGTTAACGCAGTCAAAGGCTTTTCTATAATCTATAAAACAAGCGATTACATTGACATTCATGTCTCTGCAACGCTGAGTGATAACGTTTAATCCGAATAACGCCTCACGAGTACCTAGGCCACTGCGAAATCCAAATTGAGTTTAATGGAAGGAAAACGATTATTTAACTTAGAAATAAAATTATCTATGGTGTCTGAATGTGTGTCAAAAACAGCAAAAATATCATCCACATACCTAAACCATACTCTTGGAAAATACTCAAACTGATTCTTAGCCTCCACTTCAAACCTGCTCATGAATAAATTAGCCAAAAATGGAGACAATGGATTACCCATTGCTGTACCTTCCCGCTGTTCAAAAAAGTTGTTATTAAATTGAAAACAATTTTGTTTCATACATAACGATGTAAGCTCAATATATTCAGTCACAGTTTTGTTGTCGAGACCATTTGCGTTCAGTAATTCCTTCAAGTAGCCTAAAGTATGTGGAATTGGAACACTTGGGAACAACGAAGATACATCAAAGGAGACCAAAATTTCACCTTCATGCAATGTTATATCTTTAATTTTGTTAATGAATTCAATATTATTTTTAACTGCGAAAGAAGGTTCATGATCAGGTAAATTTTCGAACTCCCTTGATAACCATTTTGCCAAATTATAAGTCGGAGAACCTACAGCCGAAACAATTGGGCGCATAGACTTGTCCGGTTTATGAATTTTTGGCAAAGCATACAATTTTGGTAATTAGGGATTGGATACTTGCAATTTCCTCTTTAAAGAGTAATAAACACAAATCAAGTTAAAGATATAAAACACAATACAATAACACCGCCACTGGATTTTTCAATAGTAGTGACTGTTTCTACTATTCCTAGAGAGGGGCATAAAGTTGGAGGTAATGGCGACAAGACGTGCGAGAATCTCGACCAATCAGACTGGTTGAATCCGGGATGCCATGATGAATTTTGTCAGCGTGTGCCAGCTTACCCCAAGCGGACGTTATCTTAAGGAAATACTTTCACCTTTATAATAGGCAGAATGAACGAAATCAGTTAATTAGATAAATATACATTATTACAATAAGAACTACGTCAACATATTAGCCTAGATTTGTATTAGACTAGTTTTGTAGAGATATCTGGATGTTTCAGATTTTTTTAATTTACAAAGTTCCATATTAACTGAAATAGGATCCTTCCAAGGAGGGGCAATGTGTCGGAAAAAGTGGATACAGGGATATTAGGGAATGTTTTGTTGGGAGGAAAATAGGTGGTATCTTATATTAATGCGGCGTTGGTATTTTAGATGAAGAATATGCTGCCGAAGTTTGCGGAATCTTCGGACCACCCTGTATATTCTTACCCGTATAAATCTTATAAGCAGCTTATCTAGATCTCGTTTTTTCGCCTCTTCCACAATTCCATCCTTTTCCAGCACGCTGAACATCATACCGTTAATGTAAGGTAGGCAACACTCGTTCTCGCCCGAAATGAATTTTTTGATTAGGTCGATGACTTTTCGTGGAATTTTGGCAGCTCTCTCTTTAGCCTCATCTACCTTAAAATTGAAGTATCACACAAATCTAACATCTACCAAACAATTGGAAGTATTCTTAATATTTTGTATGGCTTACTGTTCTTAGTATTATCGTAAGAGTATTTAGTATTATTGTGAATTGACGTGATGGTTTGGTTTGAAATTTATTTTTTTATTATTATATATATATATAATATATTTATATTATATATATTGGTTTGAGTTTTATTTTTGCCAATTTAACTCATCGTTAAATTGGCAAAAATAGGGAATTATTTAATTTAACTGCAGAATTATTAATAATTAATATTTTTAAACGAAATTTGGTACAGAACTGTTTTGGGGGATGCCGAATGTAGGGGTGTACTCAAATTTTTTGAAAAAAAATCGCTAATATGATTTTGCAAATTTTTCACCACAAAAACTTTATTAAGTAGGCCTTGTTTTTTGTGAAATAACATGACATTGAGCCCTAAAGTACATTTTTTTAAACTTTATATTTGAAAAAAAAATCATCAAAATCGGACTATAAACACAGATTTTATGGAGGGTGCCCGGTCTTGAGTGGGTCACACTGTATATGCACTTGTTCCAAAGGTATGTTATTAATGTTTAAATTTCCACTTAGTACTAGGTTTGTCATGTATTGTGTCTTTGACAAGTTAATTTTCAAACCGACTTTTTCCGAAGCATCGTTCAGCATATCCAGCATATTCTGTGCCTCCTGTATTTTGTCTGTTATTAAAATAATGTCATCTGCAAAACAGAGACGATTTATGAATTTGCCATCGATGTTAATTCCTGTTGAATCCCAGTTTATCATTTTTAACATACTTTCTAGCACAGCAACGAATAGTTTAGGGGACAGTGTGTCGCCTTGTCTTACCCCTCGATCGATATTGAATTTATCTGTGCATTGATTTGTTGATATTCTGACGTTTGCCGTGGCATTATCATATATATGTCTTATGATTGAGGAGTATCGATGATCGATGCGACTCTCACTTAGTGTCTCTAGAAGCTTCCGCTGGTCTACCGAATCGAAGGCCTTCTCGAAATCCACGAAGACAAGCTTTAGTGGTCTATTATACTCAATGCATTTCTCGATAAGGACCTTGACTGTTAGAAGATGGTCATTTGTTCCGTAACCTGATCGGAAACCTGCTTGTTCGCTCGAAAGAAAAAAGTCTATTTTATTTGTCAAACGCTTGGTGAGTATTTTAGTAAATAATTTGTATACGTGGCTAAGAAGGCTGATGGGCCTATAGTTTTTAAGGTCTGTAACGTCACCTTTCTTGTGTACAATAATGATGGTTGCGTTGTTCCACTGTGATGGGGTTATTTCTTCTTCAATGCATTTATTAAATAGGACATTTAAAGCTTTGATGATTTCTGGTCCTCCTTCTTGGATTGACTCTATTACTAGACCATCGTCGCCGGCAGCTCTATTGTTTTTCATATCTCTAAGGGCACTGATAATTTCTTCCTCGGTTATTTCTGGAATTTCTTCCGACCCCTGATTTATTACCTTTCGGATGTCGGTTCTGATCCCCTGCTGTTTTGATGTGTAAAGTTCTTGATAGAAAAGTTTTTCGTTTGATTTAGAAAAGAGTGTCGGATTTCCTGTTTGTGTGTTACTATGTTGCCGTGCATATCCTTGATCTTTTGTATTTCTTTTCTTCCCATTGTACTATTTCTCAATATCTTCAAACTTTGATTCTTCTCTATGACTTTCCTAATTTTTTCCGTATTCTGTTGCCTCCTATGCTTTCTAATTTCTTTAGATATCTCTTTGTTTAAAGTTCTATATTCTTGTGTACTCTTGTCCTCCATATCTCTTCTCTGTTTCATTAAAAGTTTTGTTCTTGAGTGGAAATTAGCAAAGAGAAAAAAAAAGAGTGGAAATTAGCAAACAGAAAAAAGGAATACACCAATAAAACGAAAACCTCCGAGAGAGAGGGAGGGGTAACAAAGGAGAAACAGAGTAAGAACTTTTACAATAGAATACAAATAATAATTATAATGTAGAATGAAAACTACTAAAATATGTACAACGTAGAATGAAAACTTACTGAAATAAAACCAAAATTTAAGAGACTTCACCAAGAATGAATAAAAACAAGCACGGGCACAAAAGCCACCAAGGAACATTTTTTAAAATTCTTTCATAGACATAAGATTGCTGAATTTTTGTTATTATCATTTTTGTATTTGTACTAGTAATTTAAAAATAAAATATAATAATTATCAAGTAATAAAAGTGGTTTAAATAATATAAAAATAATAATTAAAATTCCAAACACACTCAGTATAGTGTAAAGTGGCAGCAGTAAAATACACGCAAATCGCAATATCTGAATAAAAAAATAATTTTTGGAATTCATCTGGAATTTTCTAATAATCACCATGATAGGCTAAATCACATATCACTATCTGAATAAAACACGCAATATTTTAACGATGCTTCACGAAAATCCATCAAAACTACCCACAGATCCTGTACTATTTATTAAACGACTATTACCTGTTTGAAAACGAAGTTATTTGTTGAAGATGATTGCTCGAATTTTCAAAATCTAGAATTCTCTATAAATATTGTAAATCTTACTGCGATAGTGTACGGTGAATAATGTTACAATTTGATACACGTTTGTTATTTAGTAAATACAAACCAAGCAAATGTTCATCAGCAACGCGGAGCAATATTCTAAGCAATATCTCGAAAGTTTATCATAGAATTCGTCCAGGTAATCGATTAGAACTTCAAAGAGTCCTTCGGTGACCATTTGTTTGCGACAATGCTTCCTTATAGAAAGTTTTTGAACACTGGCAACCTACAAAAGAATTAGATATCATTTCTTTGTAAACATTCTCAGGAAACATAATATGTTTGTTTTTAAGTTATTTCAGAGCGAACTTAAACGTTTAACGTTGGAATAAACAATAAATAACAATAAAAAGTAAATAAAGTCATTTGAAGGTTAAATAGGGATATAACATATATGACAGTAGCAGCAGTTGTGTCTCATTTGAAATGAAAAGCAACTTTTATTTTTCTCATTGTCCATAGAGATCCATATTTACTAAGGGAAAATGGCATTTAATGGCTAAAATTGGGATTTGAGAAAGATCTTGGGTTAATTCCCTTAAATATTTATAAGAAATAGTATGTTTATAGCCGTAATCAACAGCTTGCACTTCAACATTATTAGACTCATATTCCTAAATGAATTTAAGAAATGTTTATTAAAATAAGTAATGGTAAAATTATATAAACCAATTTCCAATTAATAACTGATAATCTAAACCATTCTTTCTTTTCAATAACGAAATCCCTATTTAATATCGTTCTACTGATTGTGATGTTTCCGGAACATCACAAAAAACCGATATTTTAAATATATTAATGTCTTCAATTGATAATATCATAAAATTTTATGAGTTTGCAAAAGAAGATTCTTTCAAAACTGAGTTACTAAAGCTAGTGTCCACTGCTGGTGATTATTCATTTGCAGGTTTCAAACCATTGACTCTCTTTTTTTCTCTGACTTTCTTACATGCCAGAGGACCCAACCTTGCAAACATGAAGGCTACCAATACATCAGGATCAACAGATGCATTTAACAAGATTAATGATCTTGTCAAAAAGTACTCTCTAAGATCTAAAGCAGGTGGAAAAACTGATGCGGTAACTTTACCCAGGATTTCTTTGACTTTTCCACATTTATCAAGATCCATATGGGAAGAACAACTAACAAATGGAATATTGAACAGTCCTGTTTCTGAAATAGAAATAGGAATCGCTGGATCTTTGTTTTGTTCTCCAAATTATGTTCCTTCACTATCTGGTTCTATTTAACAATTTATTTCAGCAATTATTTCATTACTTAATATATTTTCTAAACGTAGGTAACTACCTATTGTTTTTTTATTTTGTTTTTTATATAGATACAGTTTTTTTTTCTCATAAGAGCACGTGCTTAGGTGCTTAGATTTATCGTAAGATAGTTTTCTTCTCTACTATCTTTCGACGTACCAAATATATAGAAAAATACACAGCTAAAGGCAAGAAAATTTTCTATATATATATATATATATATATATATATATATATATATATATATATATATATATATATATATATATATATATATATATATATATATATATATATATACACGGAGACGCCACAACGTGGAACCGTGTGTGAACACGGCAGGTGTTCGATACAGAGTCAGGCTGTCCGAGAGAACCAACTGCTGTAGGAGTACGATCAGGAATATCCCAGGAAAAGCAGGCCTTTGGTAAGTAAAGCTGTTATAATTTTATTATTAACGACTATAGTCATCTTTGAAAAAACTTTACTTGCCAGAGGGTGGCTTCTCCATACCTGGACCCTGTGGTGGTTATTTTTCTCGTTTGACTCCTCGACAGAAGATTTTTCTAATTTTTTTTCTCGCCTTATCTGTCGATTAATTTATTATTAATAATATTTTTTTTATAATTTAAATCGTCGTCTCTTCGTATTACATTTTTTTTGATTTTGTTTTAGCACGTGCAAAGTAATAAATAATATATGGCTGATAGAACCACGTTTTTTTTTAAATTTATCTTATAGAATCGTACCTGTAGTGTGGTAGTGGTCTTGCTATTTTTTTTTATTAAATTGATTATATATTTTTTTGAGAGAGAGACAGAGAGAGGGAGATACATTTTATCTTTACCTCTTTTTAAAATAATTTGGGCGAACTATTTAATTCTTAACTTGATTTAAACTGTTATAGCCAGATTTCATAATTATTCAATTAAATTGAATTTTCAAGTTTGATAGTAGAATTTTGTCTATTACTTATTCATTTTTTTTGGTTGTTTTTTGAGAAGATTAACAATTTATTGGTTAGTTACCAATTTGTTTTTGATGCCTTTCGGCTTCTGTATTAAAATTAATCAATTTTAATTTTAATTTTAAGATTAATTTTATTTTTAATTCGTATTAGTAGCAGCAGATTTAATTTCAATATTGTTAAAGTATTGTTAGGGTATAATAAATATACCTTTTTAATTTAAATTTTGATTGACTCTCATTGTACATTATATTGGCAACCACAGACAGCCGACTTGGTACTGTAGAACACTACCACAAAACTGGGTGCTTAATCATTGTTTGGAATAGCATACTGCTGTGTATTATCTTCTAGGAAGATACGAGAATTGACCCTCCCCATAAGTAGCTCACGCACTGAGACTGGTGGAGTCTCACGAGCTCTCCAACGTTAGCCGGACAATCACGCTACCCACCAGCGGATGAGTGCAGCGAAGAGGGCGAGGTCTTTCTCCCAACCAACTGAAGCAGAAGCATATCTAAGAAGCATATCTAAGTATCCCAGTTAATTACCTATTTTACATTATAATATAGTCAAGACTGTCACAGCCAGCCAATTGTCGTACTATAGTGAGAAATTGTTAAGTAGAATATAAGTAGTATTTAAAAAAAAATCTTGTTTTATTTAATTCCAAAGCATACTTCTAAATTCATCAACATCCAGAATTTTGTGGGTTATATGGGCTGAATCAAATATTGCAATGTTATAAAATTTATGGCGGAAAAAACAGCGACTCATTCGTCTCCTAAACAGTCGTACCCTAATCAGTTTGGATACACAAAGCAAAGGAGTGAATGCTAATGGGCAACAATAATAGCTTTTTCGAGGTAAATAAAATATAATTTGTTTTACAAAAATATACAACCAACCAAACCAAAATGAAGAGGAGTTAAATTGTTACAGCATGGGGAATGAAATAATTTTCAAACGTCAACTTCTACCCTTCTATTGAAGAAGAAACGATAATCAATAAGAGCCTTCCTGCCATCACCACAACCAACCCAATGAAGAGCAGGACAAACCCAAACATAAGAAAATAAAAATATTAGAAAATCGAATGGTATAACCATCATCACAACAATTCATAGAAGTTTATAACGATGATGCTGATGAGTATGAGGGCCAAAAATATACAGTTTTAGCAGTATTCTATGTATTTTAACCCATAACATGAGTCTGGAAGTCAATCACCAAAGGTAGCTGAATCCAAATCGAATGGTATAACCATCATCACAACAATTCATATAAGTTTATAACGATGATGCTGATGAGTATGAGGGCCAAAAATATACAAAGCAAAACCTTTGAAGGCGGGTAAGGGGATATGCATGCTAGAGGACCAAACATTGCTAATATGAAAGCAACTAATACCTCTGGATCTACTGATGCTTTCAACAAGATAAATGACCTTGTTAAAAATTACTCATTAAGATCAAAAGCTGGTGGTAAAACGGATGCAGTCACATTACCCAGAATCTCTTGGACCTTTCCACACCTATCTCAATCTATTTGGGTTGAACAGCTCAATAATGGAATATTAAATAATCCAGTATCAGAAATAGAAATAGGAATATCAGGATCACTGTTCTGTTCTCCTAATTATGTACCATCTTTACTAAACAATGTTGAAAATGGGAAACAAGGTGTTTTTTTCATACATTGTCTATCTCAAGAATTATTGTCATATAAAACAGAAAGTCTTAAAAAATGGAACCAATCATGGATAGAGTTCCAGGAAGATGGTATGGGTTGATCAATTGGCAATGTGGTGACTGTAATGGCCTCCTAATAAGTAGAGTCTCAGAATGTGACCCGTGTTTAATTTGCCCACATAATGAAAGCCTTAAACATTGCCAAAGCAAGATTGGGAAGCAGTAACTTGCTCTTCTATTACCGCCTTTACTGGTTGGATTACGAACCAACCAACACACGCGAGAACCACCAACAAATTGCACTATTTACACCACGGACAATAAGATCACATCAATCATGGATCGAGTTCCAGGAAGATGGTATGGGTAAACGATCCATTCTTTTGGGAATTGAGTTTTGTATGAAGAAAAAACAATAGGTAATAATCACACTATTCTCGCGTACTGTAATGAAGTTCATAAAATTTCTACGACACCCTGTATATTGTGTTAATATTATACTAGAATAATAGGGACTCTATTTTCTTTTAATAATGATAGTCAATGTATTTTATTGTTAACTCATTATTGTAATGAACTTCATTAGTGTTTCTATTGTTGAATCAAATAAGTTAAATATTTAATTGCCATTTTGTAAGAGAGTTTTGATCGGTTTTGGTCGCTGTGGTTCGGTGCGAGAAACCGAGACGTTTGCGCCGCTCTCCCTACCAGTGCAGGTTGAGTGGAGGGGAGCGTCAGTCGAGTACCTCGGCTACAGCAGCTCTAGAGAGACAGTTGTTGCACGTGAAACAGTGAGGTTCGAGTCCGGAGTGCCCTGTCAAGTGCCCTGCTGCCAGCCGCCTGCCGCCGTACTGTATAAGGTAAGCACCCACCGCCAACGTGATCGAGAGTAGGTCATATTCTTTTTATTGTTAATACCGTTTACTGTACTGCCTTGACGCGTTACAGGGATAAGGGAGACAGAGATAGTTATATTTGCTCAGGTAGACCAACTGTCCTCTAGCGAGGTGGGGGCTATTTGACCGGAACGCGGAAAGCTAGCAAAACTCGTATTCGTTCAGGTGGGCCAACAGTCCTCTAAGGAGGTAGGGGCCTGGTTGATTGGATCACGTGGACGCGAGGAGCGGAGATATTTGTATTCGCTCAGGTAGGCCAACTGTCCTCTAACGAGGTGGGGGGCTATTTGATCGCTATTTCTTCGATTCGATATTTAAAAGCTAGCAAAAATTGTATTCGTTCAGGTGGGCCAACAGTCCTCTAAGGAGGTAGGGGCCTGGTTGATCGGATCCCGTGGACGCG